GAAAATGGCCATACTGCCCAAAGTAATTTATAGATTCAACACTATCCAATCAAGCAACCAATGACCTTCTTCACAGAACTGGAAAAAAAACACTTCAAATTTCATATGGAACCAAAAGAGAACCTGCATAGCCAAAACAATCCTAAGCAAAAAGAACAAAGATGTAGGCATCATGCTGCCTGACTTCAAACTATACTACAAGCCACAATAATCAAAACAACATGGTACTGGTACCAAAACAGAGACATAGACCAATGGAACAGAACAGAGGCCTCAGAAGCAACACCACACATCTACAATCATCTGATCTTTGACAAACCTGAGAAAAACAAGCAATTTTTATTTTATTAAGAGGATTTTAATATTAATAAAATTTTATTTTATTAAAAGTATTTAAAAAGGAATTTTAATTTTATTAAAAGGATTCCGTGTTTAATAAATGGTGTTGGGAAAACTGGCTAGCAATGTGCAATGTGCAGAAAGCAGAAATTGGACTGCTTCCTGACACTTTACACTAAAATTAACTCCAGATGGATTAAAGATCTAAACATAAGACCTAACACCATAAAAACCCTGGAAAAAAACGTAGGCAAAACCATTCAGGACATAGGCATAGGCAAGGACTTCATGACTAAAACACCAAAAGCAATGGCAACAAAAGCCAAGATAGACAAATGGGATCTAATTAAACTCCAGAGCTTCTGTACAGCAAAGGAAACAATCATTAGAGCAAACTGACAAGCAACAGAATGGGAAAAAATTTTTGCAATCTACCCATCTGACAAAGGGCTAAAACCAGAATCTACAAAGAACTAAAACAGATTTACAAGAAACAAACAAACAAACCCATTCAAAAGTGGGCAAAGGATATGAACAGACACTTTTCAAAAGAAGACATATATGAGCCCAACAAACATATGAAAAAATGCTCATCATCACTGGTCATTAGAGAAATGCAAATCAAAACCACATGGAGATACCATCTCACACCAGTTAGAATGGTGTGATCATTAAAATATCTGGAGACAACAGATGCTAGAGAGGATGTGGAGAAATAGGAATGCATTTACACTGTTGGTGGGAGTGCAAATTAATGCAATCATTGTGGAAGACAGTGTGGCATTTCCTCAAGGACCTAGAAACAGAAATACCATTTGACCCGGCAATCCCATTACTGAGTATATATCCAAATAATTATAAACTGTTCTATTATAAAGACACATGCACACATATGTTCATTGCAGCACTGTTTACAATATTAAAGACCTGGAACCAACCAAATGTCCACTAACTATAGGCTGGATAATGAAAATGTGGCACATATACACCATGGAATACTACACAGTCATTAAAAATGATGAGTTCGTGTCCTTCATAGGGACATGGATGAATCTGGAAACCATCTATCTCAGCAAACTGACACAAGAACAGAAAACCAAACACCACATGTTATCACTCATAGGCGGATGTTGAACAATTAGAACACATGGACACAGGGAGGGGAACATCACACACTGTGGTCAGTTGGTGGGAGCTAGGGGAGGGACAATGGAGGGTAGGGAGGGTGGGGAGGGATAATGAGGGGAGAAATGTCAGATATAGGTGATGGGGTGATGAAGGCAGCAAACCACCTTGCCATTTATGTACCTATGCAATAATCCTGCATGATCTGCACAGAATCTAAAGTACAATTAAAAAAAAAAAAAAAAAAAAGAACACAACCATTTCCTTTGCAGGAACATGGATGCAGCTGGAGGCCACTGCCCTTGGCAAACTAACTCAGGAACAGAAAACCAAATAACCTCATGTTATCAGTAGTGGGAGTTAAATGATAAGAACACATGGAAACAAAGAGGGAAACCACAGACACTTGAGAGTGGAGGGTGGGAGGAAGAAGACGATCAGATAAAAATAACTATTGGGTTGGTATTAGGCTTACCTGGTACCTGGGAGACAAAATAATCTGTACAACAAACCCCTGTAACACAAGTTTACCTATATAACAAACCAGCACATGTACCTCTGAACCTAAAAGTTAAAAAAAAGTGGGCAGAAGTTATGACCAATTTATCCACAGAAGAGAAAATTCAAATGGCCTTATATATATGCAAAGATGCTCACCCTCACTCCTAATAAGACAAAAAAGTAAAGCAACTTGGCAAATTAAAAATTTTAGCATGCACTGCTGGTTAAAGCGTAGGGAAATAGTTCTCTTATACTGTTTAAATGGGTGTGTAAGGACAGGCGCGGTGGCTTACGTCTGTAATCCCAGCACTTTGGGAGGCCAAGGCAGGAGGATCACCTAAGGTCAGGAGTTCAAGACCTGGCCAAAATGATGAAACCCATCTCTACTACAAATACAAAAATTAGCCAGGCATGATAACACATGCCTGTAATCCCAGCTACTAGGGAGACTGAAGCAGGAGAATCACTTGAACCCAGGAGGTGGAAGTTGCAGTGAGCCAATATCCAAACTGGGGTATCACAGACAGACTCTGACTCAAAAAAAAAAAAAAAAAGGTATGTAAATTGGCACAAGCTCTCTCTGGAAGGTGATTTGGAAACATGCATCAAATCATACAAATAATATTCTCAGTAACCTTGAAATTCCTTTCCTAGGTATATAGCACATATGAATACATTTGAACCTGTAAATTTGAATATACAAAGTTATGTATATTCAAGGATATTCAGTATATTATTGCTTACAGTCCAAAATAGTGGCAAAGAAATATCCATTCATAGGGGAGTGGTTAAATATATGAAACATATATAAAACATATATATGAAATGGTTTCATATATTATAAAATATATAAAGCCATTAAAAAGAATGTGGCAGCTCTATATGTTACAGAAGTGGATATATACATATTTATTTATAATAATTTGTGACCTTGTGTGTGTGTGTATGTGTGTGTGTATTTCTGGAAGGATAAATAAGAAATTGATCCAAATGTTTTTTTTCTCCAGGGAAGGCAATGGGATGGGCATACAAGTGAGGAAACAACCCTTAATTTTCACTGCGCATCCTTTTGTACTTTTGAATTTTGAATTAAGCACACATATTATTTATTCAAAAATAAATACAAATGTATTTCAAGACACTGGGCTCGTAGACACCCCAGTGACAGAAGGTTCAATCACCTGAATCAGTATGAGAATGTATGCATATATTAATCTCTCTGTTCTTAAAAATATACTGATATTCAGTGCGTCTATTCATTAGTTGAAGTTTGAATATGCTGCTTCTTGTTCCTTCTACTATTAAAGGCAGTCAATAAAATAGATATCTTTATTTTTAGAGCGGACAAAGGTGTGTGTGTGTGTGTGTGTGTGTGTGTGTGTGTGTGTGTGTGGACTGCAAGTCTATTGTCCTATTTTAGATACACGTTTCAATTTAAAATAATCTAAAACAAGACATTCCAAGTCAAAAAAGTCTAAAACCAGAGTGTATTATGTACATTTTGTATGATGGGTTTGATTTCAAAGACGGCTACAAAACAAAAGGCTTTATCACACATTATACACCTGAAGGCTATGCTTATTTGTAGATTTTTTTCATCAGTTTAAATTTTCTTCAGAATATAGCCTCCCACTCCCCATCTCTGCTAATTGCCATATACTATAAAATAGTTGTCTGTTTTATAGATTGGAAACCCTGCATGGAGACAGGGCTTGCCAAGGACCCTTAGGAATATATCTAATATTGGAAGTTCACATTGTCTTCTAGCCTGAACTTGAATGTGAACATAACTCACCTGGATATTTTGCTAAAACAAAGATTCTGATTCAGTAGGTCTGGAGGGAAGTGTGAGATTCCGTACTTCTAAAAAACTCCCAGGTAATGCCAATGTTGTGGGTCCACAGACTACACTTCGAGTAGCAAGACCAAAGTCAAAGACCATACAGTTTCATGTTTAGGCTTGGTATAGCCTAATCTGAATGCTCTGTAATTGTGCATCTTCCCAGTTATCAGATAAATGTAATGACTCAGTTGCAAGCATTGGTAATACCACTTAACTAAGCAGAGAAAGCCTCTTTTTCTATATCTTCTGATTTCTATCATGATGAATTTTTCTGAATAATTGTAGCCTCCTTTGCCACCGTTTGCTACTTAATGATTAACAGCAGTTGTTCCACTTTTCTCAGTCAAGAGGAGATAATCAAAAGCATTGAGAAAGAGAAAATGAGAGAGAGAGAGAAGGAAGAAAGAGAGAGAAGAGAAGGTTGTTGGGATGGTCTGTTTAATTTCTCCACTTCAGTATGAAGCAGCAGCATCTTGGGTAATTGTGCATGTTCTCCAGACTCAAACCCTCCCTTTAATGAGCAGTTCTGATGCTTATCGGTCACCTTGGGTGGAGGACAAGAACTTATCGGGCATGTTTACCTTTAGCAGTAATAACAGTGATAGGTTGATTTCCCATCTGCCTTATGCTTTAGTCTTATTTCTCAATGGATTCAGAATTTAGGGTAGGGGGAAGAGGGGTGTTATCAACTGAATCCTTGCAAATCCCCTATGCCACCTAGACAACCAGCTAAGACAGTAATGACACGTTTGAAAAGGTCATAAGTTCAGACTCTTGCCTCTTCCCTAACACATTCCAGAGCTTTCCAGCTTCATCTCATCCTTTGAGCAATGCTGTCCTATCCAAAACTCAGCCCAAAGCCCAGACCTTAATCTGATTCTTTCACTAGGTCTCTTGGAGGTTCCTCATCTGTACACTCCTACTCCTAAATGAAAAAAAAAAAAAAAAAAAAAAAAAAGAAAGAAAAAAAAGAAAAAAATCACTTATCCCCTTTTCCCTCTTTGATATGCCTTGTATTGGGCAAAATCTAATTTTACTTTATCAATTATCTCTGCCAGGAGGCATGATCTTCAAATCCTGCAGTTCCCATTTTACCTTCCCGGTGGCTATCTTCCTATTCAAAAGGAAACCAGAACTTAAAGACCTTGTTAGATCTTAATAAGGCTTCCAAATTTCTCTGCCTGTTTCTTACCTTCTCCTGGATTCCTTCGTCATCACCAGCAAAATACAAAATAGGGACATTGAGCTCGGAGGCAGCTACCCATTGAAGGACGGCTTGGAGTTGCTTATTCTGAACTGTATCTATTAGGTTGTGATTGCTGACAATCACCTTGGGTGCTGCACACCCTTCAGGGGACTGTCCTGATATACCTCTCAGTTCATTATGGATAGCTTGATAGGCATTCTGCAGAAGAGTTTCTGCTGTCCCTGTGCCCTTGACTGGCAAACACTCATATAAACTATCTGGGAAGGCTGATGTTAGCCTGCTGGCATCTCCAGACTTGTCATCTTCCAGCTCTGTCAAAGAAGTATCACAGGACTTGGCAATGATAAGACACAGCTTCATCACTGAGTCCATCAGATGTTCTACCATCTGCCCATTCACGTTGCCATCTAGCTGACTGATAACCATCTTGGTCAGCCCAGAAACGGCACCAGGGGTCTCATCATGTTCACATGGTTTGGGGGGTGAAGAGGTTAAAGGTCTTTCACACAAGTTTATATCTTCCGTAACTAGTTGTTCCGGCACCTTGGGTTCAGAGCAATGGCCACGCTTGAAAATGGTTTCACCAAGTAAGTTCCGGATGAAATTGAAGAAAACGCTCATTAGGTCCTTCTTTTCTGCTTGTTCTTGGTCATCTACATTGTGAGCAGTCTTCAGGCAGGATTCATCAGGAACTACAGGAGATTTGTTGGCAGGAAAGTTGGGAGTTCCAGCAGCTTCAAGGAAGCTCTGTGCATCCCTTCTTCCTCCCTGGGCCAGGTGATATTGAATCAGAAGTAGGGCAGATATGATCAGGTCCTTGGCCCAGGAGTCTGAATTAAACACAAAATTCTCAGGTTTCTCTGGAGGATATTGAGGAGGGCTGAGACTGCAAATATCTTCAGGGAAATCAAAGGAAATGTCTGGTGCAGGCTTACACTGTGCGTCGGGAGCTTCAAAGGCTGCATGCTGGAAACCTGGAGATTTACATTCTTTCTGATTTTTATGCCACAAAGTCAGCCCCTCTTTGATAATGTGTTCACCCAGAGTTTCGGCACAAGTCTTCTCCTTCTCTGATTTGGCTTCAGAATACATTTCTTCTCTGAATTTAGCTTCAGATCTCATGGCAAAGTTCACATTTCGTTTTCTAGGATCACCCATTCCTTTCATGGAAAGGAGGGAATAACTCTCAGCCTTGTCTTTGGCTTTCCTGATATGCTCAGAGACTTTCTCCGCAAACATCACATTGTACAGCTTCCCTAGCATGGCATCCATGATATCTGTGGCTTTTTGGCTTCCATGAGAGAAAACAGTTCTTTTCACAGCCGAGACAAAGTCTGTGTTAGTCATGAGGGTCCCTGTGACGTTGTGGAGGTTCCTCATGAAGGAGTCGATGAGATCTGAGACCACCTCTTTTGCATGCTTGAGCAGAACCTTCTTCAGCAGGACGGTGGCGATGGTTGTGTCTTTCACTTGGATCTTCAGTGTCTTCATGATGGAGACCATCATATCAGATACCACACTGTTAGCATAGGTCATAATCCCTTCACTAACTGAAGTTGCAAAGTCATCAGCCCTTTCCTGCCCTCGAAACATCTTTCTCTCCCAAGGAAGGAACCTTCCACCCTCTCTGGCATAATGCGCATTACGAGATTCAAACACTTCCTTATAGAAGAAAGACTTCTTAGAATCAGGCTTGTCCTCTGGACCCTGTCTTTCCTTGGTGCTCTCCTTCTTCTTCAAAACGGACTTGTATTTCAAATTTGGGGGCTTTTGTGATGATTCTGATGCTCTGTCTCCAGAGCTGGGAGCCTTGTCTGGGGCAGCATTCCTGGAACATGCAGAGACAGTCTCATTCACCAGCTCTGATGCTACCTTACTGAGACTTTTGGTGGGGGTGGGTTCATTCCCTATGTACAATGACTGATGGACACATTTGTTTTCAGAGCCATCAATTGTCTCATTGATCTCTTTGCGGGCCATGGCTATGACTAGATTCGTGAGGCGGTTAGCATAGAAGGAAACTTCATCTACCGAACTCTCGTTGCCAAGTTGGGCCCTGGGGCCCTGGAAAGGATTCTCTTTGTGAGTTATCTCCAAATGCAATCTCCCTGGAGTGCCCTTGGCGGTGGTGTTGTAATAGTCTACAGAGAAACCTTTATGTGGGTCTCCTGAGTTGGACGTTTCCCCACCAAACGATGATTCTCCGGGCTTGAACCTAACATCTTGGAACTCTGCTGTACTTTTCTCCAGGTCTCTGCGGAGCCAGCTGAGCACTCTGACAGGATCCGTGGAGGTGTCCTTGAAAATAGACAAGCATTCATCTGACTATAACAAAGTAAAGACATGGGATATTCAAGACAACCTCAAAGTTCAGTTACAAATGTCGTCAGCCCTCTCAAGCTTGCTCCATCTTGGCAATAAAAGTAACTATTTATCGAGTTCTCACTGTGTATCAGGCATTGTTCCAAGTATTTTAAGACTATTATCTATAATAAGCCTGAGATTTAACTCTCTGATTATCCTCATTTTACAGAGGAGAAAATTGAAGAACTGAGAGGTTAAGTTTGTGATTTATTTGAAATAATATAGCTAACCATTGATGGAGCAGAAATTCCAGTCTTGGCAGTCTGACTCCACAGCCTGTGCTCTCAGCTAGTACACTATCTTGCTTCTAATGACATACATCTTTAAGATCTGATAGTCTGCTAAGGATAATGGCCTCCAGCTTCATCCATGTCCCTGTAAAGGACATGATATCATTCTTTTTTATGGCTGCATAGTATTCCATGGTGTATATGTACCACATTTTATTTATCCAATCTATCATTGATGGGCATTTAGGTTGATTCATGAACAGAAAACCAAATACCACATGTTCTTACTTATAAGTGGGAGATAAATAATGAGAACACATGAACACATAGAGGGGAACAACACACATTGGGGCCTTTTGGAGAGTGGAAGTAGGGAAAAGGGAGAGGACAAGGAAATGTGACTAATGGGTACTAAGCTTAATACCTGGATGATTAAATAATCTGGACAACAGACCCCTGTAACACAAGTTTACCTTCGTAACAAACCTGCACATGTACCCTGAACTTAAAGTTGAAAAAAAGATCTGATAATTACCGGCTACATAGAAGAGTTAGGATTTGAACTGAATCAGATTTTTTCTTGTTTTAATATTAATTGTTATTTTCTATGATTTACCTGTTACTTTCTGATCTATAATTCAGTAGTTAATATGTATGGGCAATTTATTAGTTTTGTGTGAATACAGTTTCTTTGATGGACAGTAGCTGTGATGAGCACATGGACATGTTTATATGTTTATAAATTGTACAATCTGCATATGGGAAAAACTCTTAAACATAGGATAAAATAGTATATATGAAAGTATCTTATTTATTATCAAATGCAAAGGATCACTGTAATTATTGGAGTTCATATGTCTGTCTGGGAATGACCACAAATATTGCCCATCTTTAAAGAACAATTTTGCATTTTTATTACCAAGTGTCAAATAGTTACTAGTTATTATTTGTGAAGTATTCATAAGGTTTGCCAGGCACTGTGCTAAATGTTTTACATGCGCTATTTTGCTTACTCCTCATATTCACCTGGTGAGATAGATTTTACTCTTCCAGTTTCACAGGTAAGAAGGCAGAGGCTTAGAGAAGCAAATAGTTTTCCAGGCATCTCACAGCTAGTCCATGGTGGGGTTTCATATTCAAATCCAATTCTGGCTCTAAAATCTGGGCTCTCTACCCCTACAATATCCTGCTATGTCTTGATTACTTGGAAAGAAAAGCAGTTGTGCTAGTTGTCTGCAGAACTGGTTTAAGTGGCTTGTTACCATGTTGGAGTTAAGGGCCATTGTGCTTGGTTTAAAACCCTCACAAATGGTTCTCCTAATAATAGCTATTATATGGGGTATTTTGTGCTTTAGTGGAAAACTACGCATCATCTATAGCATACCCCTCCACATTATTTGATTCTCCTTCTCCTGGAGCTATTTTACAACTCTGTTAACTGTAGATAACTGACAGCAATGCAGTATAACTCTTGTCTAGACACCGATAAGGGGAGGGTCGACTGACTGCGTCTCCCACTGTAGAGAAGGTCAGCTCTGCCTCCATGGGCACATTCACTTCAGTATTTCCAAGCTATATCTGTCTTTTGAACCTCATCTGTTCCTTGTTAATGAGTTAAATAAAATCTTTAACACATATTCATTTTTATATATGTATGAGAGTCATTATTTTACACTTCTTTGAAAATTATCTTTTAATGGTTTTGGAAGTCTTCCACCAAGATGCCCAATAGATCCACCTAATGGAGATAAATGTCCTCATGAGACAAGTGCACCAGGTGTGTCTTTTCTCATCCCTCAGAGTGGCAATAGAAGTTTGCAGACATTCTGTTTTTCTAGTTTTTTTTTTTTTTTTTTGAGACGGAGTCTTGCTCTTGTTGCCCAGGCTGGAGTGCAATGGCACAATCTTGGCTCACTGAAACCTCCTCCTCCTGGGTTCAAGTGACTCTCCTGCCTCAGCCTCCTGAGTAGCTGGGATTACAGGGGTGTGCCACCACACCTGGCTAATTTTTGTATTTTTAATACAGATGGGGTTTCACCATGTCGGTCAAGCTGTTCTCGAACCCTGACCTCGTGATTCACGTGCATCAGCCTTCCAAAGCGCTGGGATTACAAGCGTGAGCCATCATGCCTGGCCTGTTTTTCTAGTTTTAATTTTCCCCGCTCCACTAATTTTCATTTTGGTTCTCACTTTGGTTTGTTTATGGTCAGTTGGTGGCAATGATGATTGGGAATTTGATTTTATTGTCTGACCATTGGTAATTCCTTTTATGGATTAATGATTTATAGAGATCTATCTTCTGTTGGATGCAAAGCAACAGAAAATTTGTTTTGACAGTATTTTTTTGTCTATCTTAAGCTCAAATAAATTAAGGTGTTTGTGCTCACTTGGAAGGAGAAGAGCTCTTTGATATCTGGACAGGTGAGTTTTATGTTTCTGGTTGATTTTTGACACAAAGTTTGGCTGAAGGTTTAGAACTGAAGCCATAAACTGTCTATCAGTGACACATCGCTACATGTCTGTAATTCAGAAAATGTTAGGTGTAAGCAGCAATATCTTCCTCCAGATAGTATCAATACGTAATATTATGAAGTCTCCTAAATTAAAGGATGTTTATTCAGATCAGCGCGTGCACACACATACACACGCAAACACACACACGCTTAGGTAAATTAAATATTTTTGATATCCCTAGAAAATAAGGAACTTAAGCTTCTAATATTTAAAATATTCAAAGGGAATGCTAAAAGAAAAGAAAGAAAAGGAAAAAAAAAGTGTTTTTATGGAACCTAACTCAGGAACATTTTAGAAACCCAAACTGACATAAATTAGGTAAATCTTTGGCAAACAGTACTAGTTTAATAATTTTGGTTTAATAAAAACGGCTATATCTTTTCTTATTTATCAATGTTAAGTATAATACAATAGTATGCTTTTATTTTACTTTGATACGCTTTTCATAAACTTACACAGGTTATACAGATCCAAAAAAGCCAGCATTACTTCTACTTAATGTTTAAGGATTATGAAAAATGTAAATTTGTGTTTAACCAAGTTCAATAATCATTCTGACATCTTTATTTCAATAGTTATTATGTTTTATATGTCAGCCTAATGATAAGTTTCCAACATCTTTGTATAACTTAAAATATTGGAGTGGTATTACATTGAGTTAATGCATGTTCACTGGATATGTAGATCATTTCTAAGTAAGATGGAACACAGAGACATTGATGGCTAAGCATAAAGTTTATATGCTTTTGCTTGTTATTTTTATCACTTATAGAGAGGCTATATATTTAAATCTGTTAATGAGTGTGTTCATCTTCTCCACTTAGAGAGGCAGTACAAAGGGTGTCTGCGGCTGTAGCAAGTCTTCTTCAGGTGTATTCATGAGTTCTACTCATCTGAATTTCAGCTGGTGTGTGACGTTCTCAATTATATACCCCTCACCGCCAGGTTTTTTTTGTTTTTTGTTTTTTGTTTTGTGAAATAGAAAGAACAGAAAGTACTTTGGTTAACAGCTATGATTAGTACTAATGGTTGAGACTACAATTAGGAACAATAGTTTCGGAGAAGTCTAGATGTATACCTGCTTGCTTTCTTAGGGACTGCAGGTGAAACCTGGTAGAGTTTCTTAGGCTTGACTTCCTAATCTCGGGCCTCTAAAAGTTCAATCTGAGATTCCTTATGAAGACTCCTGGTAAAGCAGACTTAAGAAAGCCTATCCAGTTGCTGCATCTATGTAAACAATCAGGCCAAGTCTGATGAGACTAGCCTCATTTTGTGTTCAAGAATAATCTTACTGTGAGATTATTTTAATTTTTATCAAAATGAGGGAGACTACAGGGAAAAAATTGTGCTTAAATAGAAAACTAAACATTGTCTATAGCCTATACACTAAGCATTGTCTTCAATCTTCCACATGATCTGATTCTCAGTCTGTGAGAGCTATTTTACAATTCTGCAAGCTATAGATAATTGATAGCAATACAAAATAACTCTTGGTTACAGATGTGAAAATTCTATCTAGTGGAAATTTGGTTGATTTGTCTCCCCCGTTGTGGAGCAGGCCAGTTTTGCTTTTATTTGCACATTTATTTAAATATACCTGATATATAAGTATATCTTTTAAAAATTCTCCTTTGAACTGGTTGTAATACCTACCAATTTTCTCACCTGTGAGGTAGATACAATCTTTCGTATATATTTATTTTTCTACCTGTATCAAAGTGATAATTTTACCTCTCTTTTTGGAAAATGATAATGCATTACTACCTAGTCATTTACGAATAAACACAATAACCTGCAAATAGGTGTGTTTCCATAATAGGTCTGTAACAGTACAGGAAATCCTTACTATAGTGCAGCTGTGGAGTTTATTCTTTTACCCTTTTAAATAAAAAAAAAAAAAAAAAAAACCAGCTGGGTGTGGTGACTCACGGCTGCAGTCCCATCATTTTGGGAGGTGGAAGTGGGCAGATCGCTTGAGCTCAGGAGTTTGGGACCAGCCTGGGCAACATAGCGAAACCCTGTCTCTACAAAAATATATTTTTAAAGATAAATAAAATTTAAAATAAAAATAAAAAACCAAACCTACAGCATAGCACAGAGCTTTACAATGGAGTCCACAGAACTGTGTTAAGTTGCTGTGTTTATGGGTTTTTAATGTCTGTATATTTTTAAACCTAAAATGTGTTTACCCTATGTCTATTATTCCACTCCATCCACAAGGATTTTGCAAAAGGGGTTGATCAAACCATAGTGACTGAAAGACTAAGTACCCACGTTTCCTTTCTTATCAATGCAGTCTACAACCAAACATCCATCTCTTCAAACCCCCTTGCCCTCTTGCAGCCTTTCCTCTTCTTACACAAGAGTATTCTGAGCAACTGGGGAAGGAAGATGCCAAATTATCTCAGTATTTCTGAAGCCTGGGGCAAATTTTCATGTCCATGAAGGAGAATATAAAAAGGGTTAATGGGTTTTATTTTCTCTGCTCACCATCTTTTCCTTCGGTAGCTTAGTTTTAAGTCAGCTATATACCTCTCTGTCCTATTTCGCTTCTCCACCTTTGTCTCAAACATACTTTATAAAATTTTCTCTGACCATCTCCCATTTTGAGATGACCCATTCTTTAAACACCTATAGCAATTATTATCTAGAAAATACATGTGACAAATAATCATGAACTGCTTTTCATTAGTCCAACAGTTATTCAGAGCTTTCAAGTGACCTTTCTACATTTTTTTTTTTTTGCTTTTTATACCGCTTTATTCCAACATGAGCACCTCAATATAAAACTAAACCCTGGTGAACCGTTTTCCTAATTCTGCATTATTGTAAATGTACAAGTTCTCCTAGCAGACCAACACGTACATAGATTAAATCATCTCTGACACGTGGTAGCTCTCATATAATGAAAATACCTAAAATAATTAGTACAATATACTGAACTGATCAAAATAATTGAATGTTGGAAAATAAGGCTGCAAGTCTGTTACTAACATATTGCCATGCTTTATATTACAAATTATGGGCACATTGTTTGTTAACGTCCTTGCCACAGAGGAACAACTGAAGCCCCTTCCTGTCAGAGGGGGAAGAGAGATAATTAGCTGTTTTAGTAACTGTATATTTTGTATACTTTTAAGCAACTCTTAAATATTACAGGAAAGTAATATATATATACAGAGACTACAATGCAGTATCCTGTTGTACAGCTAAAGATTGAATTTAAAATAATCAAGTTTAAATACATGTAATTGTTGGTGCATTGACTACATTGTGTGAAAAGTGAATGAAAATCTCCCTGCACCAAACAACAAAACTCATGTAATGGCCAGCAGTGACTAATTAGAAATCACAGATACCTGGTTTATTTCATTTTTGTTAAATGACTTACGTTTGAAAGGAACACTATCCATTAAGATGCATTTACTAGTTCTCAAATTCCTAACACAAGATGGGGTTACATTTCATTTTTTTTTTTACCCCATTAAAAAAAAAAAAAAGGACTGGCTATAATTTAGATGCCATTAATGCTCTTTCCACCCCCCCACCTTGTATATGTGGGATTATTTTCTTGTGGTTAATTTATTAAAATGTGAAATGTACATTTTAAATACAGATACCGGGAGAAATGAACATTTGCCTGAATACTATGGCTAAGCATAAATAACAAGGATGTTTTTGAAAAACCCAAATTAGTAAATTCTAAATTTTTTTCACAGTTAACTACTGTGCCAGTGTGGAGAAATGGGCTGGTTAACTGTATGGGTCCAGTCAGTCATTTGTCTATGTTCCTAGTGATGAGAAATTAGGGGGAATAATGAAAAGAACTATGTACACACAGTTCTCATTTTTCCCTATTGCTGAAACATTAGTGAGAGGGACCCATGCATGTTACCAAAAATTAAGTTCAAAACACTTAAAATAATTCTGTATTAGAAACTTGACTCTATTATCACAAGTCTCTTCTTTTGGAAGTCACACTGGGCTGGATAAATGCTCCAATTCCATCATTATTAACAGTTAAGAAGCAGAAGGCTATTCCATCTAGTTCAAACTGGAGGTTTAGTTACTGCAACACTGACTCCTGCTTGGTTGTGTGATTTCAGTAAGGTTTACTCCTCTTCCTCTGGAAGAATTTGCTCCTGGATTTTGTGACTCCTTTGGTAATTTTTTAGCTATTGCCATGAATATCTCATTTGCATTCATTGATGTTTTAGCTGCTGTCTCCATGAATAATAAACTATTGTCATCTGCATAGGACTGTGCTTCCTGGAAATCTATTACTCTTTCCTTTGCTAGGTCAGCCTTGTTTCCTGATAAAACTACTACAATGTTAGAACTTGCTTGCCTCTGAAGTTCTTTAACCCAGTTTTTTGCTCTTGCAGAGGACTCCGCATTTGTGTTATCATATACAACCATGGCTGCTTGTGTTCTCTGCAGTACATCGGTGCTAGGCTACGGTATTATTCTTGACCAGCTATATCCCATCTTTCAAACTATACTGTAGTGTCATCAAGACACACAGTTTGGGTTAGAAAAGCAGCTGAATCTGTAAAACCACTTTAATATATCCAAAACGTCTATTTTCTGGCTAAGAACCATCACTTAGATCTCTTCATTTTCTCTTCATTCCCATCACCAGCACTAGCAGTTGGTTTTCTTTTCGGGCCCATATTTCACAAAGAAACAGCTTCTGTCACTTCAAGAGTTACCTCAATGGTACTCTCTTAAAATTCATTGGCCTTTCACAAAATGAAGCACTAGACTTGATTTGCCAATAGCAGGCTCTCTCAGAAGCACTAGTTTGAACTGGCATATTTCATTTCCAGCATTTGGCCCACTGGGTCTTGCTGCACCTCAATTAGCCATGTCTAAATTTGAAGGTCTAAGTAAGACCCTAATTTCAGACTCTTCAACGAACTTCCCGAATTCAAGGGGTCAATTTTCTTCTTTCTGGAGGTAAAGAAACCTGAGACGCAGCACGCGGAGCTGCCAGCCGAAGCTTCTGGCAGCAAGGCCCAGGTGTGGCCCGTAGAACCAGTGTCTAGAGAGTGTGTGTGTGGTAGTGGTGGTGGAGGCCGCAGCGTCTGCTCTTCACGCCGCTCCCCTGGCTGACATGTCTATTTTCATGTGTGTATTTTCCCAAATGAATAAGGTTCAGTAATTGTTACATTCTTTTTTGTATCCCTCACAGTTTCTCATTTAGTCAAAAATCACTAAATTAATTTGATTTATTGAAACTGATCTGCCTTTTGTTTCTCCAAATGAAAGGGCAGAGGTAAATCAAAGATTCAGTAGAAGCAGTTTTGGCTGGCCCTTTATAGTAATTGAATATTTATTATCTTTATGTCTTAATGTCTCATGTAGATTTGTTAGTGTTTCTCTTTAAGGCTATATATAGATTGACCAGATTTGGACAAATAGAAGAAGATGGGTCATTTGCATTTGATAACATGCAAATAAATGTTTAATAAGTGTTATTTATTTTTTTAATTTTGAGATAGGGTCTCACTGTTGCCCAGGCTGGAGTGCAGTGGCAAGATCATAGCTCACTGTGACCTCAAAGTCCTGGGCTCAAGTGATTCTCCTGCCTCAGACTCTCAAATTGCTGGAACTACAGGTGTGTGCCACCACATCTGACTAATTTTTTTTTTCAGTAGAGACAGAGTTTCGCCATGTTGTCCAGGCTGTTCTCCAACTCCTGGGCTCAAGCAATTCTCCTGCCTTGACCTCCCAAAGTGTTGGAATTACAGGTGTGAGCCACTGTGCCTGGCGATATATGTTGTTAATAGTCTATTCATAATAGTGATTCCACTAGATTATGAGATCCTTAAAAGGAGAGAATTCCACTTTATTTTTATGTCTCTGACTCTGACACTCAGGACAGTGTCTGGGCCAGTTATTGACTTACTATCTCTCACTCCAAATCCACTCTTCTTTGCCTTTCTTTGTGACACCAGAGCTGAACTCTAAACATTTCTCCTTTGCAGCTGGCTTTGTCAATAGAGGGTATGGGGGGGACACTGCATGGTCAGGGCAGGAGGAAAGGGCTTCCCTCTGGCAAGTTCCCTGTGGCAGCCATATTCTTTCCAAAGAGATGGGAAGCGGCTTTGGTTGAGGGAGGGGAGCTCTTATATTTATTTAGCTTTTTCCTTGTATATGCAATCTCAGCCTGGGGGTAGCAGCTGCTTTCTGCATTTGTAATTTCTGGAATTCCTAGAGTCCTCTTTTATGCCTTTTAGTAGTTAACTACATTTTATTACTAAATAATTTTTAAATATTAAGTTACTTGCATGGTTTTTATCTTCTGACTAGACTCTGACTGATACATTGCCTGATATTAAGTATTTAATAAATGTTTGTTGAATAGTAAAGGCAGGATGACAATGCGGCTTAGATGAGAGTTTATAGTTCTGAAAACTTTAAGGCATCCTACATTTTAGAAAATATTTTCTATAAGCCTTGGAGACATTTATCTCCAATTCCTCTCCGTTGGAAAATTAAAATTTACAGCTACAATATACACATGACATATATATATATATATTTACATATACATGATATATACAAACACAATATATGTTATACAGCTTATATGTACATACATATTTCATTAATTATAGCATATTAAATACCATATGATGGGAATTTTTTTCCAGAAAACTATAAATGGGAATGTTTTGTTCTATAGGGGCTCATTTCCTATCCACCTCAAGAATCCCACCGTGAAAAATAAGAGGTTGGTGGTATGGTGGAGAGAATAAGGCTACTGTTAATGACAGCCCCATATTCTTAACCTAGTGTTTATCAAGAGGCTGACCCTTACCATTTTCCAGTCCTGGGCTTGGCTGTCTCCAGGAGAATAGACATCAACTTTGCATACTCCATTTTGACTTTGTAACCAGTCAACCTTATCTGACATCTGGAAGAAGGAAAAATAAAAATAAAAAAGAATCATCAAAAGGGCAGATTATATAAAAGTGAGAAGAAACATGGTGATCACGGCTAAGGCATGGGAAATATGAACAATGCCTTCAATAGAGACCTTCCCCAACAGCCACTTTGGACCCACTCCACTCTGTATATCTTCATCCTCAGCTCTCAATGGAAGGAAGATTTCTTAAACATATTTGCACCTCTAATGAAGCTAGTGCCTGGTATCTGCTACAGGTGCTTAACACATCTTTGTTAAATGAATGAACCTAGCAGGCATGTCCCACCCCTTTGTGTCCTTGCTAGATGACCCTCCCCCTGCACCGACTGGATTTTCAGTAGACATTCAAAACTCAATGTGACCAAAATAGAATTAATTTACTGCTCCCTTGTTGGTAGTTCTTGCCCTACCAACTTAGCTTTTAAGTAAAAGATGTTTTATGTTTAACTAATTTCTAAAGCTGTAACTTACTATACTAGCAGTAAGTCTGGTGTCTCTCTTACTAAAGATCAAACCCTCCTCATTAGCCAAGGATCCTGGGGGAATTCTCAGCCTCTATGGTTCAGTGGAATTTCTGAATATCAGTCAGGACAAAAGAGACGTCATGTGTGCCATCCAACGGGCCCTTGTCCATGGATGCAGTGATTTCCTTGCTGAAGTGAATTCGTTCACAGCCTTCCCAATACTTTGCTCCATTCCCTAATCTCGGTAATAGCACCACCATTTACCTGGTCTTCTAAACCAGAAAACTGAGATCCATTTTAATTGTCTTATTCCACCCCAAGCTTCCCTCTTGCTACTATTTCTCTCTTTTTACATTTGCAGTCATTTTTCTTAAACGAATTGCTTATACCTGCTGCTTTCATTGATCGATACAGTACCTATTCTATGCACTCCTTACTTGGTAGTCTTTGAAAACATGGCCAACTATCATGACTTAGAGTTATCTACTGAGCATCTAAAATTATGAGAATCTTGCCCTCTTTTTCTATGCCAGACTTCCATTCCCAGGCTTTCACATTGAAGTTTTCCTTCTTATATTAAAAACTTTGCTCAGCTTATCCCTCCTTCCCTCTTCATCCCCTAGGCTCAGTTGCCATTAAAAAATTTAAAAACAAAAAAATTCTGCTCAGGCCTATGCTTCTCGATTATCAAGGTAGAATAGCTACACCATTTCTCCTCCCCAATGCCTCAAACATCTTTACAAAACAGAAAATCTCTGTATTTTAATTCCAACAAAATACTGGTTTAAAATACTGTTGTAATCAAGCCCAACAGCTTATCCTAATTTTTTATAGTACAACTGTGTTTTATGAAGAATTGCTTGAAATAAATGAAGCAATATTAAGGCATGAACATCTGGTTAACTGGAAATATTTGTTTTAAATGACTTCAGACTGTGTTGAGGATAGACATCCTCCCTCAAAATAAAACCAGCACAGATCAATGAAAGATTAAATACATGATTGAAACTTATATAAGTGGATATGTCATTTTTGTTATACAGGATATTTCAGATAATCATTACAAAGAAAATACAAGATCTTTTAAGAGCTACTTATTCTTTGCTCTCACAATAATTTGCACCTGTTTTCACACAGAAATCACTACCTCAGATTACTGAGCTAAGGAAGCAGTTTATTTTAATCTTCCAGGTATCCAAATACAATGGATTCCTTAGGTAAACAGTGGATCCTCCACTCTAATTAGACATGAGAATCACCAAGAGAACTGTGTAAAGATACTGAATCCAAGTTACCATCCCCCTGAAAATCTTATTTCAATGGTTTTAGTTGGGGACACTTAGGCATTCTTAAAATTCTTAAATGCTCCCTGGGTGATTCTAATATACATCAAGAATTGAGAATTTCTACACCAGGGCTTATCTGGAGAGACTCTGTGAGAAACACTGGCTATGTCCAGAAAATTATTTACCCATTTCTTTCAGATTTTCTACCTTTCTTTTATTTTTTGAGACAAAGTCCCACTCTGTTGCCCAGGTTGGACAGCACTGGTGCGATCTTGGCTCACTGAAACATTTGCCTCCCAGGTTGCTCACCACAACCTCCGCCTCCCAAGGGAATATCTAATTCCTTTAGATATTCCAGCACTGCTAACATCCTGGAAGCTGTGAAATTTTCCCATGGCCAATAGAAGGATCGGGTTAAAATGTTCCTCAAAAATGTCAATGTGATAATTACCTGCCTCAGCCTCCCAAGTAGCTGGGACTACACCAGGCACACCACACTTGGCTAGTTTTTGTATTTTTAGTAGGGATAGTGTTTCACCATGCTGGCCACACTGGTCTTGAACTCCTGGCCTCAAGTGATCTACCTGCCTTGGCCTCCCAAAGTGCTGGGATTGCAGGTGTGGGCCACCCTGCCCAGCCCCATTTCTAATTTTTCTTGGTATCTTATTTTAATGTTTTGTTACCTTAACAAGGAAGTTGTTAATGTCTATGAGGTTAAACCCTGTAACGTCCTCTGCATAAACATATATACATATAAATATTTTTAGGCTTATATCACTATTACATATACTTACATATAAATATTCTTATGCTGGCATCATTACTATAAAGAAAATAATGAATGGTATTATGATTTGGCCAAAGAATTGGAAGACTCGGAAGCAGGCTGTTCTAGATTATTGATGTACTAGTGAGAGCCAGAAACACAATCTCTTAATCTTCATTTTATATTTCATCCAAATGAGTTACTTCTAACAGAAAAGTGTGACAAAATCAATAGGATACATTTCCTTATTTAAGCTATATACAATTATAATGCTGAAAATTGTGCACAAAAAGTATGGAAATTATGCGATCACTTACTCTTACTCACGATAGGTTCTGAGATATGAGGAAAACTCTTGATTAATTTATTGATGTTTTCAGCATCCCTCAGTTTATCCCCCCTCCTGCCATGTAATATAAGGAATCTGCAATGGAAAGACACAGATAAAAATGACAAGTTTTACAGATGAAACTTATTGCTCTTATTACCAAATAATGATTTTGACCTATTTAGTATTTTTCACATGTGCATTTAAGTAATGAGCTCAAAATGACGCTCAAATTTCATGAGTGCACATCTTATTCTTGGTGCATTCTAGCAGTTCCCAGATGACAAAAACGGTTCCACTTTTGGACCAATGACTTCTTAAATGACTATTGCTATTCCTCACTTTCAAATCATTGACATACAGTCTTTTTAAACAATTAAGACACTAAACATTTTCAGCTTAATTTTAAACTTGCTTGAATAAGAAGCTGGAAGAAAAATAGCTGGAATGAATAGGTACCCTAAATTTATGGAACTCAAAACATTTCACAAGCATCTTTGAGGACTACAAATACACACTTTCAAGTTATGAGGGGGAATTCATAGATATCTTTCAGATTAATTAACTTCCTTGTTCTAATTCTACTAAGACATTTCAGTGGAAGACATTAGAGCACTGTACTCTCTTGCTGAATATCCACCCAGCACCCCAGAAATGGCTCTCTAAATTTACCCTTACTTTTTAGCCCAGGTCAAGCAAGGGCTACCCTATCCATGAAATATTTTCTAGATACCTAGTGAATGTGATTGCTCCCTCATTGAGGTTTCTATCATATGTTTTTTCAACATGTACATTCTATCTTGTATTTTAATTGCTCCCATATATTTCATCTTCTTTACTGGGTGACTTCATAAGGGGAGAGACATTTTCCTCTTCATCTTGGTATCCCTCATAGTAGCTAGTATCTTAAAATTGGAGCGTAATAATTATCTGCTGGAAGAATGAATATGCACAATCTGCCCATTTTCAGATAGCTCATTTTTTCTTTCGAATTGGAGAATCCAAGAACAAAAAAGAGATGGCTTGCTCAAATTTACTATGGTGGTAATTCATATATTCAAGACTTCTTGAAGCTCAACTCCTTTGGGAGATACATTCACTCCAGAGACTTAGTCATGATTTACTAACAGACCTTCCTATTCCACTAGTACAAATAAATCAACATCTCAAAAGTGCTTTTGTATTTTTTTCACAGAAAGAGAACCTACTAGTCAAATATATTCAGCAAACACTTCACTTACTTATGTTCTAACATCTTTTATTCTATTTTCTAGGTCCTATGTGTGTATTTATCTGCATTGTGAAGCTTGTTTTGGACTTTTAAAACTTCCTAATTGTCTTTACAGATGATAGCATCTATAAAGAGGTACTTTAATACTTATTAATGGTAACGACATTCAGATTTCTAAATCAATGTTTCTCATAATGAAGTGGAAAAAAAGGAAGAGCTAAAGAGTTTAATGAAGTCAGTGAATGGATTCATAAATTACTGTAAGTTAAAAAAATGATAAATAACATCCTGGAGTTAAAGAAAATGATACTTTGTGTTATCTATCAAATTAATGATAAATGGACCATAGAAGCCATGTTTTCTAACACTCTCATCTTATAGATTAGGATATTGAGGCTCAGAAAGGAAATGCTAGAATATTTCTTTAGATATTCCAGCCCTGCTTACATTCTGGCAGCAGTTAAATTTTCCCATGGGCAATAGAAAGATTGGACTAAAATGTTCCTCAAAAATGTCAACGTGATGATTACTTCAAGTTGAGGAGTGCAAATCTGAATGCCTGTCAGGAAGGGCATAAGCAACATAGGGGCTTGGTCATGGTGGTTGTATCCTAGACAGCTCTATCTAAGGCATTTTTCTCCTGTATCCATTTTAAGCGAGAAGTTCCTGTTTACCCAAGGTTCCTAAACTCATGGAAAAATTCAGATTGCAGAAAGTATAAGTAAAGTTCTTGCAGGGTTGCTACATACTTGATCAAGTTTGAGGTTTATTCAACCAGGTTTGATTACTAGTTTTGAGAGGGAAGAATATGTTTCTTATATCCATCCTATTTTACTGCCTTCTTTCTGTAAGTACCTGCTACATCATAGAAGCTCAATAAACCTGGTTGCTGATTAAATCAGTTTCAATCGATTGTTTAAATAAAGATTAGGGTGAATGCGTGTATGCGTGTGTGTGTCTCAATGGCACCACTCATTGTTAAGCTTTCCAGTGGAACTTCTTTATTTTCGCATTCCCTAAGTAGTATCTTCTTTCTCTAGCCCCTGTTAGTACAGATATACTTTCACTACACAGCTATACATATCCTGACCTTTCCCAGTTCTCTGTTGTCTAACCAAGGCTTCAAGTGCATGAGAATTAGAATCAGGGCTATACCAATTCTCTTTTGCTCTTGGGGCACTGGAAAGAAAATAACTTTAGGAATGGCCACATGATGAATAGGAAAAGTCAGTATGTAGCCAAGCTTCTACTCTATCAAATGGGGAAGCAGGAAGTAAGACCCCTCATGTCTCCAAAAGGATGGCTGAGGAGATCTTGTCCAATCTATAAAAAGATCACAATGTCAGCAGCAAAGATGGTACGTTTGACTTTAAGGCTGCTGAAGGAGAGGTTTATTTATTTCCAGAGTAAGATTAGAATTGTCTGAGCATGCTAGGCACGGTGGCTCACACCTATAATTCTGGTACTTTGGGAGGCTGAGTTGGGCAGATCACTTAAGGTCAGGAGTTCGAGATCAGCCTACTCAACATGGCGAAACACTGTCTCTATTAAAAATACAAAAAATGGCCAGGTGCAGTGGCTCACGCCTGTAATCCCAGCACTTTGGGAGGCTGAGGCGGGCGGATCACGAGGTCAAGAGATGGAGACCATCCTGGCCAACATGGTGAAGCCCCGTCCCTACTAAAAATACACAAAAAAATAGCTGGGCGTGGTGGCACACACCTGTAGTCCCAGCTACTGGGGAGGCTGAGGCAGGAGAATTGCTTGAACCCGGGAGGCGGAGGTTGCAGTGAGCTGAGGTCGCGCCATTGCACTCCAGCCTGGCACCTGGTGACAGAGTGAGACTCTGTCTCAAAAAAAAAAAAAAGCCAGGTGACAAGGTGACATAGTGTATGCCTGTAATCCCAGCTACTTGGGAGTCTAAGGCAGGAAAATCACTTGAACCCAGGAGGTGGAAGTTGCAGTGAGCCAAGATTGCGCCACTGCACTCCAGCCTGGGCAACAGAGCAAGACTCCATCTCAAAAAAAAAACCAAAAAAACAAAAAAACAAAATTGGATTGACAGAAGAACAAGGGTGGGTTGAACATAAAAAGTTGCCTATCACTTGTCACTGAATTCTTCCTTCCAACCACAGAGGATCAGAAAATAGGCTGTTTTATCAGTCCAGTAAGATTTCCTACCTCTGTAGCACTTGAATAGTGAACCACAGAAGACTCCAGAATATACTTTTAAAGTCAGTGAAGATGCTGGGATGTTCTTGCTCAGCTCAAGATCTTGTTTCCTTCTGTGGCCTTACATGTACCTCCCCCTTGCTGGGACTGGAGAGTGACATCAGAATCACAATTGGTGCTATCACTGTTTCTATAGCAACAGTGGTGAGGCTACCAGAAAATGAGTGGTCAAAAAGACAAAGAGGAGGGGTGAAGACATGCTCCAAGGTGCTCATGTTTAGTTTGGAAGGACTGGGCTTTATTCTGATTAATTATCTTTTTAGAGCAGTGGTCCCCAAACTTTTTCACACTAGGGACCAGTGTTATGGAAGACAATTTTTCCACGGATGGGAGCGGGGTGGGAGAATGGTTTCTGGATGATTCAAGCACATTACATCTGCTGTGCACTTTATTTCTATCATTATGCCATGATGTAGAATCTGTGGGAGCTCTGATTTCCTGCAACTAGATGGTCTCATCTGGGGGTGATGGGAGACACTGACAGATCCTCAGGCACTAGATTCTCATAAGGAGTGCACAACCTGCACTTTCACAATAGGGTTCAAGCTCCTACGAGAATCTAATGGCAGAAGGTGGACCTCAGCTTTGCTCACTTGCCCACCACTCACCTGCTGTGTGGCCAGGTTCCTAGCAGATCACCGGTCCATGGCCTGGGGTTTGGGGACCCCTGCTTTAGAGTGTTTAATATAGGCAGGAGAAATACAGGAGGGGGACATTTTGCCAATGGATTCCACTTAAAACAGCAGAATAATTATCACATATTAACAAATGTAGAGCACCACAGGGGAGAATCAGAAATAAAAGAATTGAGAGTCTAAATTTTATGCAAATCCCACGGAATCACTTTATTTTGTCAAATCCAACCAGGACTCTTCTTATTTATAAGCATCTTGCCTTTTGTTAATATATATATATATATATATATATATTTTTTTTTTTAGGATATTTTGCCTAAACTGACCACTCTGGGTTATAATTTGTCTTAGGTGCTCAGAGATACAATGAACTAATTTATCTTTTGCAATGCCTGACCTGAGAAGCTGTAGTAGGAAAAATCAGACCATGAGGCAATTGGTTAGCTACTCTTTCTTTGCTTGGGGTGGAGTGGGATGAGGGTGGTCTTTATTACTACATTCTCTGTGGAAATGTTACCTCAGCTATTCTGTAACTAATAATGAAACACAGGACTAATATGTAGTTTCCATGAAGCAAAAAGAACTTCCAAGCAAGGCCACAAGATAATGATGAAAACTGCAAGAGATTCAAAAGTGGCTGGTTTATCACAGGCTTCCTTCAAAAAGGTTATTTATTGCCCGTTCCAGTGGTTTACGTCTGTAATTCCAGCACTTTGAGAAGCAGAAGCGGGCGGATCACTAGAGGTCAGGAGTCCAAGACCAGCCTGGCCAACAAGGCAAAACCTTGTCTCTACTAAAAATGCAAAAAATTAGTCAGGCATGGTGGTAAATGCTTGTAATCCCAGCTACTTGGGAGACTAAGGCAGGAGAATCACTTGAACCCAGGTGGCAGAAGTTGCAGTGAGCAGAGATCACGCCATTGCACTCTAGCCTGGGCGACAGAGTGAGACTTTAAAAAAAAAAAGTTATTTATCCATTGATGATCTTTTATATTAGGTCTCAAAAGAGCTCTTGTATTCTTTTCACATAAAGTGCACCTACTAATCAAATATATTGGTTAATATATCTCATTTTCTTTCTTTTTCTTTGAAATGGAGTCTCAACTCTGTCACCCAGGCTGGAGTACAGTGGCAAGATCTTGGCTCACTGCAACCTCCGTCTCCCAGGTTCAAGTGATTCTCGTGCCTCAGCCTCCCAAGTAGCTGGGATTACAGGTACCCGCCACCACACCCAGCTAATTTTTGTATTTTCAGTAGAGGCCGGGTTTCATCACGTTGGTCAGGCTGGTCTCAAACTCCTGACCTCAAGTGATCCACCAGCCTCAGCCTCTCAAAGCGCTGGGATTACAGGCATGATCCACTGTGCCCGGCCTCTTCATCTTTAAAATAAACAAATGGGGCTTGCTGAGCTCCTAAGATCTCTTCCAGCTTAACATCCTATGATTTTGATTCTTCAGTGGTATTTGAATAGCACTGCATGGACCTACATACAGTACTTTGCAGATGACAAAGCGTCTTTGCATCCATTATGTCACCCAATTCTCGTAGTAACCTTTTGAGGTACCAGGTAGGTTTTATCTACCCTGTTAGACAGGTGTAGGAGCTTGTCCAGGTCACAGCTAATAGCTGATAAAACTGGGAATGGAATCTAGTATTCTGGGTGTTAAAAATCAGTGTTCTTTCAGCTGGGCACAGTGACTGATGACTGTAATCCCAGCAATTTTGGAGGCCAAGGTGAGAGGAGGTCTTGAGCCCAGGAATTTGAGAGCAGCCTGGGCAATAGTTAGACCTCGTCTCTTAAAAAAAAAAAAAAAAATCAGTGTTCTTTCATTTACACCGTGCAACCTTGAAACTAAAATTGAGAATATGAGGCAGTGTTTAACTTAGAGATTTTAAATAACATAATTGGCAATGTTATACAGGAGTTCCAAGGTTGCTGGTAACCGTCAGGGTCTGTCAATCCCAACCCGGAAAGTATGTTACTATCCGTATTGGTCCCAGAATCAAGTATTAGCAAACTGTGTTAAATGAACATAGGATGAAGCCAAGAAATACGACAGAGTAGCATTATTAAGCTTCTCTGGTGAAATTCAAAGATTTCTCTTGTCTTGAAATTCAATTTGGTAGGTGACACTTCAGTAAACGGTAGGGTTAAGAAAGAGAGGAAACAGCCAAGATTTCAAGCCTAGTAATAAAGCAACTCCTACATCCCTACGAACCTCAGGCCTTTTTGTCTATCCCAGAAACACATACTTTTCATGAAAAAACAAGGCACTAGAAGGATTACCAACTAGAAAGAACCCGCCCTCCCCAAACCAGGTGGTTTTTCTGATAAGCCCAAGGTGTGTTTCACAGGATCACTGGTTGCTGTCTCTTACCCAGGAATCTGGAGAGGTTGACCATAATAAAGTATTTTAAAATCCAAGTACTTAGTCTAACCTGGAATATCCTCAGTCTCCAGATGGCTCTTTGTAGAACAATGCAGATTCTCAAAGGTGTCCATAGTTAAAGAAAAAATTACAAAGACTCCGCTAGGGAGAGCCATCTGCAGGTTCCCCTTAGACAGATGGTCAGATGGCACACACGGTCACTAAATTTTACATAACATTTCAGGAAGTTCACAGATTTCCTGAAGCCCACTCATGAATCACACTCCCGGTTAAGAACTCCTGGATTCATATGCCAGGGGGTGATAAGTGCTTTGGTATATAAACTTAGACCAAAAATTGGTGGAATGATTACCACCTTGGATAGGATGGTCAGAGTTGTTTTCTCCGAAGAGGTCACTTTTGAGCAGAGACTTGAGCTGGTGCAGATACCTGAGCGAGCATTCCAGGAAACGCCATCAGCAAGCGCAAAGGCCCCTAGGAGAGAATGTGCTTGGCGGGCTCGACGTACATTTATTCACTTGGGACACACCCTCATTTCGGTTTCTCCTCTCCACTTTTCCCCTCGTCCTTGTCTCCCTTTTTCTCTCTTCTGGGCCCTGGACCTCCCGAGCGCAGGGGGCTACGCCTCCTTCTTCCCCCGGCCTCACCAGAGCGGCCTTAGCGGACATTTTCAAGGAACAGGAAACTGAGAGTCAGGAAAGCGGAGGTCTTCTACCGGGGTCTTGCCATTTTGCATGTTCCGAGTCAGTCACTGGTTAACTCTGAACTTCAGGTTCCTCGGTAATTAGAGATTATAAACAAAGGGACATCTTTACAGCCTATTCCAGATCTGAGACTCCAACAGCCAAATTCTTTTCGCTTTCTTTCTTCCCCCTCTCCTTCTTCTTCTGTCCCCTCTCTTCTCCCAGCTGTCTTCTTAACCACCAGGCTACCCGAAACTCTTTTCCTCCTGGTTAGCGTCTGCGCAAACAGGCGTGGAAGATAAATTTTGACCCAGCTTAGCAGCCGTAGTCAGTCAGGCGTGCCGGCGCGGGGAATTGTGGGAGAAGATGGCAGCCGCTGCGCAATCCCGGGTTGTCCGGCGTCTGCCAATGTCACGTAAGTGTCCCCGGGAACGGCGACCCCTGATCGGGATTCCGAGACGGGGATCTAAGGTTTTGGGAGTGGCGCCGTGCTGCAGCGGTCACGCCGACTTCCTAGGCACTCTGGTTTTTCTAGGTCTGGAACTGCCTCTGGTTTCTCCTTTTGCTTTCCACTTCCCCGGCTTACATACTCAATTGTACATCTTGGGAGGGGACAAAAGATCTTGAGCAGTGGGAAGCGAAGAGAAGAAAGCAGGGGGTACGTAAGGGATCGAGAGAATCAGAGTTCTGATATGGTTGTAAGGGTTTAGGGTTCTGAGAAATATTTGTATGGGTCAGGGGGAGGAATCTGTAAGGTAGCGAAAAAAGGGTACTGACGAGAGGTTTTCTTGGATTGAGTTTATGACCTTGTGCAAACCCTTAATAGGTCTCAATTCAGATTCTTCATGGCACGATGGAAATGATAATATTACAATACCAGGGAGGCTCTGATAAGATTAAATAAGCTAATGTTTATAAAAGCATCCTTTTAACCAAAAGCGTCTCTACGGATGTAGAATGTGTTGGGCCGAGTGCCTTGGGGTCTGGGGAGAGAAGGATGTTTGAGAAGAGAAGAATCAGGAGCTTGGTGGAAAGGAAAGTGAAGAATAATGAAGGCTATCATAGAATTTGTTAGCATTGTTTGTTTTCTGTCTAATCTGATTGGATCTGCTCCCAGTCCTCAAATTGGAAACATACATTTGCCCTTCCACTCGCTAAAAAGCCAGGCAATTAGAAATACGGTTATACTTTATTATTATTCTTTCACTCTCTACTCTTCCACAAATATATTCCAATCAAACTCCAAAAGTTGTATTTGTTTCTTAGTGTATTTTAATCTTACAGAACATCATTTGCTTTCAGAATTGGCTCATGTCAGAATCACTCGTAGAGCTTTATAAAAAATAGAAATTAAGACTGATTGTAGAACGATTGAATCAGAATTTGTGAGATTAGCTTCTTGCACCTTAAATTTTTAAAAGCATCACAGATAGGTTTGATGTTCAGTCTAAGGCAAGGATTAGGAGTTTAGAGGATCCTCTTTTTTTTTTTTTTTTTTTCCATCGTGGTTAGAACTCCTGCATACCACTGGGAAGGTGGTGGTGCACATCACTTAACAGTGGATAGTTTCGTAGTCACAATGTCTTTGCAAAAGCATTTGCTGGTTCTTGTTAAACTATTACATTTGTATGAAATAATGTAGATTGTGAATAGTAATCACTGTTTATTGAGTACCTGCTATCTGCCATATCCAGTTCTAGGTATTTTAATTAATTTTCTCTTTTAACCTACTTTCCTCTGACACCATAGCTTGTGTTCTTAACCACTCTCTGTTATTATGTGGTAAAGTAGGTTTTTGAGTAAATTCTGGAGAGGCAAGTCTAGTATGTAAAATAATCCACACACTATAGGACAGAACTGTGTAAGACAACTGTATATAGTTAAGCATGGCAAGACTATTATATATCACAGGAAATCATAAAAGGGGAAGATTATCATTTCAGGTACTGAAGGAAGATTGGAAGATGAGTGGAGAATTGTAGTGCTCCCATTGATCTCTTTAGGGCTGTTATGATCTGGAAAGTCTTCTGGGAAAGACAAGTGAGTGAGACTGGAGTCATGAGGTATTCAAGAGACAGTGAAATGACTACCTGTATATCTGGGTTAGTGGAAAAGGAGGGTGAATGTGTTAGATGGGATCAGACAGTGGAGACCTTTCAAAGCCAAGCAGAGTTTAGACCGGTAGTCTCCAAAGGGAGTTGTGCAAGAGGACCTAATAAGTTATGGAAATATAATATTAGAACTTCTAAAAACTCTTTTCTATAGTAACAGTAGCTAACACTTATGTAGTTTAAACTGTATGCCAGACACTATTCTAAGTAATACATGATTTACAATGTGTATATCATATTTCTACTATGTAGAGCATGCATATAATTTTTTAAATAAATACTTAAAAAAATTAATGCACTGTGCAAGCAAATATGTTGCAGTAGGAAACCAATGTAGGTTTTTAAGCAGAGAAATATAATGAATATATTGTTCTTCTAACAGTAGTCATAATAAATGGAAGAATGAGATGCTGGAACCAAAGAGAATAATAATTTATATTTATTGAGCACCTACTATTTGCAAGGCACTGTGACAGCTGCTTGCCCATATATTATTAATTCTCATCAACCCTTTAAATTGTCAGCTTCATGAAGCCAGGGTTTTGTATTTTACTGTGATAGTCACAGTTTCTAGAATAATACTTGGCCCATAATTATTAAAAAAAAAAACAAAAACAAAAACAAATAGCCATGTGAGGTTAGTGTGACATTACCTTCTGAGAAATTTCAAAGTAATAAAAGTAAAAGCAACTATTATTCATGGAATGCTTAATATGCTCTGGGTAATGTACTAAATGCTTTTTGTCTAATCTAATCTTGCGTCCAAGATTTACATCTAATCTTCTTAACAGTCCTTTGACATATTAATTCCTTAACTCTAGTAATTCTTCCCAGTTCATTGACTCTGCCATCTTTTCCCTGTCTTATCCTATGTCCTCACTTCCTTATTCTAATCATTCCCTTTTATGCATTCTTAACTCCCCAGCCCAACTCCCACTGTCATAAAAAACACTGACCCTGATTAAACAAAACTTTCCACATAGTTTGCTGCCTGCCACTAAGCAATGGAGAACGGGGCTAGGGAAAACTCCAAACTAACTGGCCTTATGTTAAATTCATGCATACAAATCTCAAGTAGATTTTCCTACATTGTTATAGGAAATCAGATGAGAACAGTCATTTTCCCACCATAAACTCTAATAGTTGATATGTGATCATTCTTTGCCTTTTCTCTTATTACAGTGGGTAAGCTCCTTCTGCTCTCTTCTGTGGCCAGTTCCTTCACTTTGCATTTGATCTCATCCTCTCTCAACTATTCATTCCCTTTCCGGAATCAGGTATTTTCCCCCCTCTACCGTGGAAATCCTGTCATTTCCGTCAGCACAAAAATGTTAACAGATATTTAAAACAAACAAACAAACCTGTCCTTGTCCTTGTGTTTCTCTAGTCCAATTTCTCGTTCCTCAGAAGGATTATCCATACTCCTCACCTGCTTACTTCCTTGCCTCACAGCCACTCTTTTGTTTACTCCAGTCTGGCTTTCAGTCCCACAAATCCAATAAAATTGCTCTTATTTATGCCACCTACATCCACATCCTCCAGATTCTGTGGTCCTCTGTTCTCTTTCTACTTCACTTTCAGCATTTGGTAAAGTTAACTATGCTCTTCTTGAAACACTTTCTTTTTTGATTTTTAGATTCTGTTTCCTTCTGCGTTTTTTTCCTACCTCACAGGACTGCCTTTTAATCTTTACTGGCACTTTGGGCTAGTTACCAACCTTATCTATAAGGTGGTGATAAAGGTAGCATTAAAAAAAGATAATACCTATGAAGCACTTAGAATAATGCTGGACACCTGCTAAGAGCTATTTAAAGTTAGCTGTTAATATGATGTTATTATTTCGTTATTATTATGTGTGTGTTCTATGATGTTTACTTTTAATTTCTGTCACTATTAGTGAGCTAGGCTATTTCTCCAATTCCATACTTTTGGATAGGGAAGAAAAATGGCTTTTGGGCAGAATACCACTGGAAAGTCATCCTTAGAAAACAAACACAGATTTTCTAAAGGAAGCCCTGTTTGTCTCTTTCAGATCTCCTCAAGTGTACAAATGCTAAACTCCAAAGTTTCTTGATTGGAGCAGAAGTGTGTTAGCACTGTAAACCTTTTTGTTTTTACTTACATGAAAGTCGAGGAGCTAACTCTAAAATTCTACTCCAAAAAGTTAGAAGAGACTTGAAAACTGGAGTGTATCCAAAAGAGAGTCACATTCCTACCATATGAAGAATATTTGACAGGACAGGAAATGTTTAACCTGGAGAAGAAAATATTTAGTGGGGATATAATTGCTACACTTAATTGTAGAAGAGAGATTAGACTTGTTCTTTGTCATTCTGGAGGAGCACAGGACTAAAAACTTCTGGGAAGCAGTCACTGATTCCCGTTGTGGTAGAACTTTCGTTCTGTTACGGCTCAAAGCAGAATGGACCGCTACGGGAAGTAGTGAGTTTCCAACTCTGCAGGTGTTCAGGCAAAAGCCAGATGGTTCCTTTGCACACATGCTATAGAGAAGATACAATCATTGGTGAACGAACTTTGAGGGTCCATTCTAGTACCAAGAACCTCAGTCTATGAAAAAGAAGTGGGATATTTGACAAAATTCTTGCTGTTAAGCTTTCTAAAAGGCAGAACATCTTTCCTCAAGCACTTCACTCCGTTTATCATTATTTGCGATGTTATTCAGTGGTTTTTGTTATAAGTCTCAACTATTGAACTGCATTCTTTTTTTTTAATGTTCTGTATTAATAATCCTCTGCTTCCAGCCGATATCATCAACTTTGTTTTTCATTAGTCACCAGTGTCAGATTCTGTTCCAGGAGAGTCTTTTGTGTTGCCCTGTGCTAGGCTTATACATTATACCTCTGCATTGTTATGTGTTTCTCATGGAATTCTGTCCTTTCTTTTTTTCCTCTTTAAGACCTTTCTCAAAACATTTTATCCAGGAATCCTTCCTCATGGTAATGTGATTTAGTGCTCCTTTATTACGTATTCTCAGTTCCTTTCACCATATAGGCTTGTACTTTCCTACTTTGTGACTGTTTAATGTGTTTTTTAAACAATGTGACTTATCTTTTTAGGTAAGTTACATTGTATAGAGTAGGGAATATATTTCCTCATGTCCTGTGGATTCTGTTGTAGTATTTTGTGTTTATTATTGCTTTTGATAGTTAAATTACTAAAGTACTGATAGAAAAATAGTGTTACAAGTTTTTAGGGAAAGGAGCTATTTGTGTTCACAGTTTTAAAAATATTAATATTTGCCATTGTTATATACTTTGGGGTTTTGTTTAAGGTTCTGCCATTACTGCAGTAGCCACATCAGTGTGTCATGGCCCACCGCATCGCCAGCTTCATCATGCCATCATACCTCATGGGAAAGGTGGACGTTCCTCATTCAGTGGGGTCGTGGCCACTGTGTTTGGAGCAACAGGATTCCTGGGCCGATACGTTGTCAACCACCTTGGTAAGTAAAGTTCCTTGAGTTCATATGCTCCATTGCCACCGATTAGGATTGCCTGATGAGAAGCTATGAGCTATGTTTCTCTTCATTTTAACAGCATTATTAATTACTCCTATCTTGGATGTATGTAATTTTTATTTGTTGTGACATTAAGAGCACACTCATGCTCCTATATAGGAATTATTAAGATGGGAATAAGGGACTCTGAAAAGCTATGGCATCCTTAGCATGGCAAAATATTCCTTTTGTCAAATATAATATCAATTCACATACTATATTAGAATTTAAATATTTACCAAATCACAATTGTATAATATATCCACGTTATGTTAGTGTTGATCCTTTTTTAATTGATTCTTTTAGGACGCATGGGGTCGCAGGTGGTTATACCTTATCGGTGTGATAAATATGACATCATGCACCTTCGTCCCATGGGTGACCTGGGCCAGCTTCTGTTTATGGTAAGGGCCTTTATGGCTGATTGAAGTTGACAAATATACATTGCTAAGATCATTTTTAGGAGTAAGAGGGCTGATTGATTGAAATTGACAAATATAAATTACTAAGATCATTTTTAGGAGTAAGAAGCAGATAAAGCAGTAATTTCATCCTAAAAATGAACCAGAGGCACTCTCTATTCACAGGTCATTCTTTCAGGTGGGTTCCCACATCTTCTTTGTCATGCAAGCTCTAGACTGGCAGTTGGCAAACTTTTTCTGTGAAGGGCCAGAGAGTAGATATTTCTGGCTTTGCAGGTCATAGTCTTTGTCATAATTACTCAGCTCTGCCTTTGTACCTGGAAGTAGCCATAGACAATATGTACACAAATGGGCATGACTGCATTTCAATAAAGTTGTATTTACAAAATTAGGCTGCAGGCCAGATTTGGCCTATGGACTATAGTTTGCCGATCCCTGGTCTAGACATGTGCTGTCTAGTGTGGTAGCCACTGGCTACATGTGGCTCCTGAGCACGGGAAATGTGGCTGGTCTGAATTGAAATACGTTGTGTGTATAAAATATGCACAGATTTCAAAGACTCAGTATGAAGGAAAGAATATCCAATATATCATTAATAGTTTTTGTATTTGTTACATATTAAAATAAAATTTTGGATATATTAGGTTAAATAAAATATATCATTAAAATGAATTTCACTTGTTTCTTTTTCACTCACGTGCCTCATGTTATATTTCTGTTGGATAGTGCTCTATAGACATTAAAAAATCACAAATAGGGTGTTTTATAATTTGATTATTTAGCATAGATTTAACTTAGAACAGTCCTTTCTGAGCATTCCCTTTGTCATTCTGTAATCTACGGGTTCTTCCTTTAGGCCAATAGTTGCCAGTGGGGTGAGGCAGGGGAAAGAGCATAGAGGAAAGCCATGAAGGGAGTGATTAATGGAATTCTTTGGTTATCACAGTGATTGGGGAGCCATCCTGGTTATTAGGTACATGCCAGGGATGCTAAATGTCCTACAGAGCACAGGACAGTCCCTTTCCACAAAGAGTTGTGCAGCCCCAAATGCCTGCAGCCAAGCTATTGATTGCTATACTCTCTGGCCTTGATGCTTAAGTCTACTGGATCTTATAGCTGACGTTCTACTTGTATTATCCTGTAAGGAATGGAGCTTTTCCAGTTACACATTTTCCCTTTTAAAAGATATGTGCTAAACATCCTTACTATCTCTGGTAATATTCATACAAATTATTTGTAATCCCTTTAAATTTTAACTTACTTTCACTTCATTTTCACATTTTTATTTATTCTTTATCCAGTGTTCACAAGCTAAGTATAATATTATAAATTTCTTATTTCTAAAATGTTTTCTTCTCCAAAATCTTACTATTGAATATCTTCTTGGTATTAAAGTTACGGAACCTTAGCTTATTCCTAGTTCCTTGTGCCTTAAGTTTATTGGTCATCTTGTCAGAGCCTCAAAATTGAAGTATTTAAAAAGTGATAGGTGAAAACTTTTGAACCATTGGAATTAACCAAATGACATCTATTCTATTTTTTCTAGAGAGATTTATTTTCTGAATTTCTGGCATTGACCTGTGCTCTGAGCATGTCTGGATGAGCACGACCACAGGGAACTCAGAGGCTTATATGTTTACTGTTTGTTTATGGGTTTATTTTCGAGAAGGACTATTTGGGGTGTGAGGTACTGATTCCTTCGCTTTAGTCTTTGTTTGCAACTCTTGTGTGAATGGCCACTTGTTTTACCTACCTGACTGCGCCCTTGGCCTTATTCCTGAGAATTTGGTTTTCTTCTAATATGTCACTCACTGCTGTAGATTTTATGTATATTTCACCTAATCCTCATAATAACCTCATGAGGTAAGTTGTGTTTTCTAATTTTACATGGGGCTTGAAGAGATAATTTATAGAAAGTTAGTACATGGCAAACTGAGATTTGCATTCCTGTCTGTTTGACTCCAGAGGCCACTGTTCTAAACTGTGCCTTTTAGCCCACTTTCTATAATCAGCCGTAACTGGTTCTTTCTGCTGGGGCTTCATCTTTTTGTTCTTGAATCTCATTTTATAGTTTGTTTTTTCTAAGTTAAACAGCGGTTTAGTTCTCTCTCTGTCTCTCTTTCTCTCATCCCTGCTTTCTTTCTCTTTTCTCATCTTGCCCCATCTCCCTCCCATTGCACTGACCCATGTATGTGCACTTACTATTTGGTGCTAAGAAATTCTTATTATTCGTTATCTTCCATTGAAATGCTTATAGAAACCAGCCCTTGGCTCACCCTGAAGTTTTAGGTAGTTATTTTAGACTCTTGTTTTCATGTTGTTAATGTAGAAATGACTAGATCTGGGGTTATAAAACAGGAAAGAATTAAAATGAAATAAGAAAATAGTAATGAATGGCCCCAATTAATACTAACCTTTAAAAGACACTCCCTATCTTCAGTCTGTAAGTGGTTGCTGTCAATAAGGGAAGGTCTCTGTCTCCCAAATGATCCTCGGTTCTTTGGCTATGTTTCAAGAGAGGAGACTTGGTTTACTGGGTTTTTTTTTTTTCAAACTTAGTGGGCAGTAGTTCAGTGGACAAAAACAAATATGCTCCGTTAAAAGTCAATAGCCTCCTTTCTAGCTCTGTCATTTGATTACCTGAGTAAAATGTACTTTTACATGTTTGTCTCCAAAAGAGTGAGAGAATCAGCAGGAAGTTTGAGATGTCCTGTCTGTTCTAATAGGTGGAGCTTGTATGAAATGGCACCATATTATGACTACAGCACATGACCTATTTTGAAACTTGCATCGAGGAGGCTACAGAAGTGTTGAATGCCGAGGTATACCCTGCTATGTTTTCATCTGATTGCCTTCTGCTATTATAGGAATGGGACTCGAGAGATAAAGATTCTATCAGGCGAGCAGTGCAACACAGCAATGTGGTCATCAATCTTATTGGACGAGACTGGGAAACCAAGTAAGTCTTTGACTCTCGTTTCTTCTTTGCTAAAGTCTTTCTTAGGGTTAATAGACCTTTATTGGGCACCTTCTATGTGCCACCTGTCACAGTGACATTTTCAATTAGTTAATAAGGGTTGGTTGAACAATCACTTGCATACCCAGTAACACCCCTTAGGAGATGTAGCTGGCATTAAGTCTGGTATAAGTCAGCAGTGTGATGTACTGCCCATAAAAAGCCAGTAGGTAGTATTGATGTGGCTGATGTTGGTCCTGTGCTTGGATTAGTCCCTATGGGATGGGGTTAGGAAATAGGATTTTGCCTGTTCTGTTGCTTAGCAAGCTGAACATTGGTTTCCCTCGTGTAGACAGTGTTCTAGGTGTCTTTTCTGCATTGTTAATTGGAGATGGCATGAGGACTAATTTGAACAGTTCTTTGTGTGGGTTGATTATTAGCAAATGTTGTTTTAATTCTATGGTCCACAACATTTTGTTGATACCTCATTTTTTAGCGTTAATTAAAGTCTGACTTAGTTTTTAATATACGTCTTTCTTATCAAATACTTTATAAACTCTTTGATGACTTGGAGGTCTTATTCAACTTTTTATCCCACCTAATGATTAACAAAGTGTATTTCACAGAGTAAACATTTAGTTAATGTTACTGAATGAAATTGTTGACTGGGTATTTTCAATTTCTTCCTTTTACCTTGAGGGAAACAAAGTCCCAGGGGTACAAAGTGATTCCCAACACTTCCCTCCTCCCCAGCAACCAGTATAGCTAGGTTTCTTTAACGGGCCTCAGTGTCAAGATTCCTTGATAATGCAGAATATGATGTATACTGGATTTATTATAACTTAGAGTAGGCCCTAAATTGTGTAAAGTAATGACAGCGCTCAGACCTATAAACTTTTTTTTAAAAAAAATTGTGGCTTAAACACTTTTCTTTTTTAAGATATTTTTTTAGAAATTGAGACAGGGTTTTATCATGTTGCCCAGGCTCGTCTTGAACTCCTGGGCACTAGTGATTCACCCGCCTTGGCCTCCCAAAGTGCTGGGATTACAGGCATGAGTCACTACACCTGGCCAATTTTAGCTTTAAGTTAAGTTATTGCTGTTTAAAAGTTTAAGTAGCATGAATCTCAGTACTGTTATGAAAACCAGCTTTGAGATCCTGCGTCTGGAGTTCTTAACCAGTCCTTTTATTTTTTTTTTTCTTCCAGATACTTTGATTTTGCGGATGTTTATGTGAAGATTCCTCAAGCAATTGCTCAAGTGTCCAAGGAAGCTGGAGTTGGAAAATTCATCCATGTTTCGCATTTGAATGCAGATGTGAAAAGTTCCTCCAAATATTTGAGAAATAAGGTAAGTAACAAATTGATTTGGGAAGTGGTTCACAGAGCCGGAGTTTCTTGGCCCATTTGAAACATGATTTCAGTGAGAAGGGTTTATCATCGACATATCTAGAATTAAAAGGTTTTCTGATTCCCTGCACCCAGAACTAGGTGTGTATATGTGATGTTTTGACATTTTGGTTGAGTGCCTTCTGTTTGCAGGAAACTGTGCTAAGGGGCTTCAGAGTTGGCTAGACCATGTTACTAATGGAATTCAGATACTTAAAGTTTCTTTGAGGCATCACTGAATTGCACAGAAACCATCACAGAAGGCAGAATATCATTTCTGCCGAAGGAATCATACTTGTGTCATCTACCATGGTTAAAGGACCATCTGTCTTTCTCACCCCTTGCATTGTAATGGTTTTATGCCACTCTTAAAGGGGCGATGTGAAGGCTCAGAATGATAGGGATTAATATTTGCCAGGGAAGATGCCTATTCAGATAGTACTTACACTCCTTTTACTCCCAGAAATGCCATACCTCGAGGCTGACCACTCTAGTGTGGAGTCAGTCTGTAACCTGAGTGAACCGTCTTCATTATTAGGGACCCAGAGGGATATCAGTGTCTGTCAGTGCCCTTAACATTTGGGTTCTGCCATATGGAAACCAGTTTTGAGTCATGCTAATAAAGACAACAGAGTTCCTTCATAATGGTTCCAAGTTCTTGACTCACCACATTAATTTACTGGATAAAGTATTCATGAAGCACCTACTATGTATCATATATTGTGTTAAGCACTGTGGATACAGTAGTAAATACAATAGACTTGGTCCTAGCCCATATGAAGTTTCTAGTCCAAATTAAGTTTCCACTCCACATTTTGCTACTTTGCAACATTTGGTACAACTGGAATTATTTTTTAATTAAATATTTATTTATTTAAATATTTAAATATTTTTAATTAGAAAATAATTCCAGATGTACCAAATGTTGCAAAGTAGCAAACTGTGCCAAAGGGGCATATAATGGGGGAAAGAGGGCATTTTATCAGTTAGGAGCATTTAATTATTAGCATCAGAAAATCCAATATAAACTGGCTTAAAAAGGGGGAGTTTATAGGCCCATGTATCTATAAATAATAAAACAAATAAAATAATTAAAAAATAAATAAAAAATTTTAAAAAATAATTTTAAAAATCTAGCAATAGGGAGCCTTAGCCACAGATTGTGCCAGGGTTTGTTAGGGCTCCTTGTTTCTCTGACTCTCAGCTTTGACTTTCTCTTTGTGTGGCTTTGTTTCTCATAGTCACAGAGCTAATATAGCACATCCAGGTCTCACATTTTCATGGTATGCTGAAGAAAGAGAGAAAATAAGAGACTGGATACTTGTGCCTGCCTCTGCTGAAACATTCATAAAATCATCTGAATTTCATGACTGTTTGGAAGGGAATGGGAGGTGTCAGCGGTGAGGAAGAGAGAAGAGTGGGAGATGTCCAGCCCTCTGGCTGAAGCCATTGGGTGGATGATAGTACTGTTGAGTAAGATGGAAAATATTTGAGAGGGACTAGGCTGTAGGGCAGTGACTCTTGGCCTTAGTTTCACATTTGAACCACTGAAGGAGTTTTTAAAAACTGATACCTAGGCTGTTCTTCAGACCAATTAAAACAATCTCGGGGATTGCAACGTTGGCACCAGTATTTTTTAACTCTCTCTAGGTAATTCCGAGTGTAGCAAAGATTGAGGAGCACTATTTTACTTGAGAGAATGGAAGATAATTGAGTTTTGGACTCGTGTTTCAGGTGTATTTCAGATGTGTGTCAATCTTCCAGGTAACTGGTACGTAGGGTTTCTGATCCTGGAGGTCAGAAGAGAGGACTGGGTTGGAGACAGAAATGTAGTTACCAGCATGGTTGTTAATTGAAGTAATGGGAGGGGATAAGATGGCTGGAGATTGAGAAGAGAGTTTTGGATTGGGCCCAGAACATACCAATGGTTAATGATCTGGTAGAGGAGGAGATATCTGCAGAAACCCAAACCAATCAAAGGCTAAGCAGGACATAAGGCAGAAGGGAAACCAGGAGAGTACAATGCTAGGGAAGCCAAGGCAAAGCAGTCTCACAGGAGGAAGTGAATACTTATGAATGCCATTGAGAAGTCATACAAGATGATGACTGTACAGTCACCTTGAATCTATTGACATGGAGGTCATTGGTGATCTTATCAAGAATAGATTTAGTGCAAAGGTTGAAGCAGAATCCAGAGTGCAGGTGAATGAAGAGTGAGTTGGAACTGAGGCAGTGGGAATGGCAAGGGTAGGTACATTTTCAGGTAGCCTAACTGGCAAGAGAAAGATGAAAGACTGAGAGAATAGAAGCTAGAGAAGGATGTGGAGTTGGAATTTTTTTTTTTTAAGGTAAACGATCTACGTTGTTTAAATGCCGGTAGGGAGATGCTGGTAAAAAGAGTGAGGCTGAAGATGTGGAAGAAAGAATAAATTGGACAGGGTCCTGAGAAAGTGAAAGGACATGAGCTCTAAAGCATTGGCAGTGACGCCATTCCTCCCTTCAGGTAAGAGAGGAGGAGAAAATTGTGCTTTATATACCTGAGTTTGTAGATTTAGTGGTGAGAACTTGAGGTGGTTTTTCTCTACTGTCTTATACTTTCTCTTTTATTAGAAGGTGAAGTCATTTACTGGAAGGAAAAGAGAAGAAAGGGATGTCTGAAATTTGGATAGAATAGAAAATGTTTCAAATTGTCTCATGGGAAAGTAAATTAATTAGAGGAAAACACTATTTTTGGGACATGTTGAGGGCCCAGTTAAAATTGTTGGCATGAATTTATAGTGGTACCCATTCGTGATTTTGACTTATTTCTTTTCCTGCCAGCTGCTCAAGGCAGTGGGAGTGCGTGGCCCAAGGAAGGCAAATGGATTTCTAGGATTAGAATTTTGAATGGTGGCTAGAATAAAGGACAAAGGGACAAGGTAGTTTACAATTTTGGCAAGAGAATGTTGAGAAGATGGCCTATGGACCCTAATCTGGAATTCAGAAGGGAGAACAGGAACAGTCAGCAGGGTTGATACAGGGGAAGCAGAATCGGTGCACTAGGATTCTTGAGAAGGCTGAGAAACAGGTATCCCAGGAGCAGATGGACAAAGAACAGGCAGGCTAGAAATGGTAGGAAATTGTCATCCGAGAGTAGGATGCCTTCATTTAATACCTCTGAAAAAGAGCAATTCCAGTTGTTGATATGGTATATGGTGTAACTGAATTAAGAGTGTTAGAAGTGGAACGAAGAGGAGGTCGTTGGAGTTGAGCAGCTCAAGAACCTGAGAAGTCCCAGCCCACTTGGACATTTATGTCACCCCCAGTGGTAGTGAAAGTAGAAAGGAAGACTGAATTAGGTGCCGATATCTTCATCAAACAAGAAGACTTTCCTAGGAGGCTGGTAGATGATAACAAGTAAGGATGGTACAGCAGTTGAGATTAGGAAAATTGACTCTATCCGCAACGTCCTCTGGATATATCCATACTGCCGCCACTTCCATTATTTTAGCCCACTGCCACCATACTCTCCTTTCTCAAACAGACTGCTAGATTGTTGACACAAACCAGAGAATCTGTAAATAGAAGGAAAAATGGAGGCTGAAAAAATTCTACTTTGATTTTTTTCCTTCAATGTAAGCTTCCCTTAAAATAAAAAATGGGAAGAAACCCAACCAAAGCTATAAGGTGCAGGACATGTTTGTGGATTATATGTTTTAAAAGCTCTGCGTAACTGAGTTTTATGAATCACATGATGACCTTTATCTGGAGGAAAATATCACCTTTGAAATACAAGTCATGTCTTAATGGCGGTAAGAATGGAAGCTTTATTCACTTGTCTCAAAACTCAAAACAGGTTTATTGGTTGTTGTTTAGGCTGTTGGAGAAACAGTAGTGAGAGAAGCATTTCCGGAAGCCGTTATCATAAAGCCGTCAGACATCTTTGGAAGAGAGGATAGATTCCTTAATCATTTTTCAAGTACGTATTCTTTCTTAATGATAGAAGAGATGGATACTGATTAACCACGTTGAAGTTGAACAAGCTAACAGCTTTCTCTGATTGACGGACTAAGGATATATGTTTTCTGCCTCAGTTGCCTTTTTCTCCCCTAAGGTTATATTTTCATAGTCTTTTGTATTCCATATCAAAAGAAGCAACTTAGATTAATGAAAAGAGCATGAACTTGGGAGTCAAAGACTTGAGTTTAAGTCTTGGCTCAACTAACTCTGTGACCTCGACAAACATTAGAAGATCACAGGGTATAGTTTCTCCATCCTAAGATCCTCTGTGTTACACATATTTATTCTTACCCTCCTACCCACTCCCACTCCAGACAACCACTGATCTTTTTATTATCTCTATACTTTTGCCTTTTCCAGGATATTATATATATGGTTAGAATCATACACAGTATATAGCCTTTTTAGGTGTACTTCTTTCACTTAGCAATATGCATTTAAGATTCTTTCATTTCTTTTCATAGCTTTATAGCTCATTTTTTTATATAGCTGATAGTAGTCCATTGTGTGGATTCCATTGTATTGGATGTTTGTTTATCCAATTTAGATGTTTCTATCTTGTTTTTCCCCCTGTTGGCTTGTGTCCACGTAACATCTGTAATAATTTCTACTTTAAAAGTTTTGTGGTAAAATATACATAATATAAAATTTGCCATCTGCTATGGGCTGAATTGTTCCACCTCATAATTTGTATGTTGAAGCCCCAACACCATTGTGAATTTATTTGGAGTTAGGGTTTTTCGAGGTAGTTAGGGTTAAATGAGGCCGTAATGGTGAGGTCCTAATTCAGTAGGATTGGTGACCTTATAAGAGGAAAAAAGGGAGATCTGTCTCTCACTGTGTGCACTTACTGAGGAAGGACCCTGTGAGGACACAGCAAGAAATCAGCTGTCTCCAAGCCAGAAAAAGAGCCCTCACCGGGAACCAAACTGGCTGGCACTTTGATTTTGGATTTGCTAGCCTCCAGAACTGTGAGAAAATACATTTTTATTGCTTAAGCCACCCAGTCTATGTATTTTGTATGGTAGCCTGAGCAGACTAAAATAGATTTTGGTACCAAGAAGAGGGGTGCTGCTGTAACAAATACCTAAAAATATGAATGGGCCTTTGGAACTGGGTTACAGGTAGGGGCTAGAAGAGTTTTGAGGGACACAGTAGAAATATGGATGTTAAGGGTGATTTTCGTAAGGTCTCAGATGGAAATGAGTAATATGTCATTGGAAACTGGAGGAAAGGTGATCCATATTATACAGTGGCGAAGACATTGGCTGAACTGTGTTCTAGTGGAAGGTAGAATCTGTGAATGCTGAAATTGTTTATTCAGCTAAGATATCTAAGTACGAAGTGTTGAAGAAATGCCTTGGTTTCTCCTGTTTATAATAAAGTACAAAAAGAGAGAAAGATGAAGAAGGACTTGTTAGGCAAAAAGGAACCAGAACCTGAAGATTTGGAAAATTTTCAGCTTATCCATACTGCAAAAAATGAGAAAGCTTGTTTTAAAGAGAACACTAAGAGTGTGGCTGAACAACCATTTGAGGAAGAGATTGTGGACGTGACTAGCAAACTAATAAGCCATCTCAGGAGAAGCCAGGAACAGAGATGAGATTATATCAGCAAAGTCACCAGCAGTTTGAACTAGAAGGGACAGAATGAAAGAAGCCTGTCTGACTTCTTATGTCCGACAGGACCAGACCATAGAGCTATTTGGCCATGAATGTGAGCTGTTTTTCAAGAAAAGGGAAGAGTGACTCCAAAAATGGTTCAGAGATGTTCAGAACTACCTCTTTGGTTTCAAAGGATGGGGCCATTGCCTCAGTTTAAACAGACCACATGGTCTTTGTCAGAGGGCTTGGAGGTAGGATCACCCAGAGTCTTGGCGGTAGAGCTGCTTGGTCCTTGAGGCTAGAGCCTCCTGGAACCTTTGAGGTGTGACCCTCTGCTCAGCAGAGCTGCTGCGGTGGGACTGCTGCCCCAGTGGGTCCTGGAAGTTAGGACCACTGTTTCAGTGTCTTCTGAAGGTGAGACCACCATCTCTGTGAATCTAGAAGGCAAGGTGTCTAGGCAAAGAGGATTATTCTTGAGCCTTATAATCTAATAGAATTTACCTTGCCAGGTTTTGGACTTGTTTGGGACTTGTCACCCTTTCTTCTTTCTTATGTCTTTTAGAATCGGAATGTCTATCTTATGCCTGTCTCACCACTCTATTTTGGAAGCACATAACTAGTCTGGTTTCACATGTTCATAGTTAGGAATTTCGCCTCAGGATGACCCGCACCTTGAGGCTTATCTATATCTGATTTAGATGATATTTGGATGAGACTTTGGAGTTTAGAGTCTTAAGAGTAAGACCGTTTTAACTATTTACCAGAGTAGAGTTCAATAGGATTAAGAGATTTACATTGTTGTACTACCAATCCCCAGAACTTTTTCATCTTGTGAAACTGAAATTCTGTACCCTTTAAACAACTCCCTGTTCCCTGTTTCCCCCCAGCCCCTGGCAACTACCATTCTTCTTTTGGTTTCTATGAATTTGACTACCTCATATAAGTGGAATCATACAGTATTTGTCTTTTTGTAGCTGGCTTATTTGACTTAGCATAATAACGCTCAAGGTTCATCCATGTTGTACCGTGTGATGTGATTTCCTTCCTATGGAAGGCTGAATAATATTCTGTTGTATGTGTATACCACATTTTGTTTAATAAGCCATCCATCAGTGGTTACCCGGGTTGCTTCCCGTTCCCACTTTTGGCTTTTGTGAATAATGCTGCAGTGACTATGGATGTACGAAGTATCCCTGATTTCAGTTATTCAGGGTATGTACTGAGAAGTGGAATTCTGTATCATATGGTAGGTATATCTGTTTTTACTTTTTGGATGAGCCACCATAGTGTATTCCATAGTGGCTGCACCATTTTACATCGCCACCAACAGTGCCCAAGGTTTCCAGTTTTTCCAGATCTTTGTCAACATTTGTTATTTTCTATTTTTTTTGATAGTAGCCATCCTAATGGTTGTAAGGTAGTATTTCATTATGTGTGTTTTTTGTTTTTGTTTTTTTGAGATGGAGCCTTGCTCTATCACCTAGGCAGTGGTACGATTGCAGCTCACTGAAGCCTCAAACTCCTGGGCTCAGGGGATCCTCTTGCCTCAGCTTCTTACATAGGTGGGACTACAGGTGTGTACCTGGCTAAATAGAGAGAGAGAGAGAAAGAGATTTTTTGTAGAGATAAAGTCTTGCTGTCTTGCCCAGGCTGGACTCAAACACCTGGCTTCAAGCAGTCATTTTGTCCCAGCCTCCCAAAGTGCTGGGATTATGGGCATGGGCTACCTTGCCTGGCCTCACTGTGGTTTTGATTTAGATTTTCCTAACGATTAGGGTGTTGAGCATCTTTTTATCTGCTTGTTGGCTGCTTTATTAATTGGAGAAATGTCTATTTGTGTCCTTGTCCTATTTTTTTTAATTGGGTTGTTTAGTTTTTGTTGTTGAGTTGTAGGAATTTTTTTATTTATTCAGAATATTAAATGCTTATCAGAGATATGATTTGTAAAATTTTCTCAGATTTTTTAGTTTGCCTCTTCACTCTGTTGTGTTCTTTGATTCACGGAAGTTTTTAATTTTGATATAGTCCAGTTTGTCTGTTTTTACTTTTGTTGCCTGAGCTTTTAGCATTATATCTAAGGAGTCGTTGCCAAGTCTAATGCCATGAAGCTTTCTACTTTTGTTTTTGTCTAAGAGTTTTAGAGTTTTAGCTCTTAGGTTTAGGTCTTTGATTCATTTTGAGTTACTTTTTATATACGGTATGAGATAAAGATCCAATTTTATTCTTTTGCATGTGGATATCCAATATGTTAAGAAGACTATCTTTCTCCATTGAATGGCCTTGGTGCTTTTGCCAGAAATCATTTGACCATATATGCAAGAGTTATTTCTGTCTATTCCATTGGTCTGTATGTTTGTCTTTATTGCCACTGTTTTGATCACTGTACACTGTTTTGATTACTGTGCTTTTGTAATAAGTTTTGAAATCAGAAAGTGTGAGACTTCCAAAAATTTGTTCTTTTTCAAGATTGTTTTTGATTGATTATTTTCAAGATTTGATTTTTAGATTTAGAAGAAATCCCTTTAAATTCCATATTATGAATTCTAGGATGGCGTTTTCTATATTTCTGCAAATATAAATAGACATTGGGATTTTGATAGGGATTGCATTAAATCTGTAGATTGCTTTGGGTAGAACTGATGTATGTCTTAGTCCATTTTGTGCTACAACAAACATTGAGTAATTTATAAAGAAGAGAAATTTATTTCTAACAGTTCTGGAGGCTGGGAAGCTCAAGATCCAGGTGCTGGGATCTGGTGGGGGCCTTCTTGCTGTGTGCTCACCTGTCGCCCAGGCTGGAGTGCTGTGGTGCGATCTTGGCTCACTGCAACCTCTGCCTCCTGGGTTCAAGCGATTCTCCTGCCTCAGTATCCTGAGCAGCTGGGATTACAGGCGTGCACCACCACGCCCAGCTAATTTTTTGTATCTTTTTTGTAGAGACAGGTTTCACCATGTTGGTCAGGCTGGTCTCGAACCCCTGACTTCATGATCCACCCATCTCGGCCTCCCAAAGTGTTGGGATTACAGGCATGAGCCACCATGGCTCGCCATTTCTACTCTTAAATGCTTAAAAAAAAATTTTTTTTAACCTAATATTTAAACCACTTGGGATTTGTTTTAGTTTATGGTAAAAACTAAAACATTATCTCACATTTTTTTTCAAATAGCAGAATAATTATGCCAGCACCATATATCAACTAACACTTCGTCAGGGCCTTTTACTGGGTTACCTGTTCTGTATCACTCGTCTGTTGATACAGCAACAGAACTCATCTAGATATCAACTAGATAGACAACTCATCTGTCCTGTTGCTGTATCAACAGACGAGTGATACAGCATGAGAATCATAAGGAGGAACAGCTCTGTGTTCCTCCTTAGAATGGGTGCAGCTAGAGTCCAGTCTTGGACATGGTGTTGCACTTAGCATTATAGAGCAGACTAGTTGTCAAGCCTTTTGACCTCTTTGTTCTTCATGTTTTTAAATGTTCGGCCTTTTTACTTTCCATGTTCGTTATCTGAAAAGCTAATGACTGCCTTTTGTAAGTGCATTCAGTTCCTCAGAGTCAGCTACATTCACTATATTATTTCTATCATGCACAATAATTAATGTTAATCTTAAGATCGGTGGGTCTTATAGCAACTTAAGCCTTCTCAGTATAGCTCTCATTCTTTCTTCCGCTAGATATACGTCGCTTTGTTGGTATACCCCTTGTTTCCTTGGGCTGGAAGACTGTTAAACAACCAGTATATGTAAGTACTTGGATGAAGAGGCTCAGAAAGGGGTTTTTGATGAATTCGGATTTGGGTGTCAGGTTTCTGGTTTTGTCCTAATTTAGTAATTCTGTCATTTTCTTTGTCAATTTGTGTCAGCTAGCTGCCTCTCAGTTTACTTAAGAGGTATATGCCTTCTCTGTATCTTCATTTGTTGATTCATTTAAGAAAAATTTATTGAACCCATAATGTGCTAGACACACCATACATGTCACATGTCACTAGGGAAATAAAGATATTAACTAGATAGACACAAATTGCTGTTCTCAAATTGCTTTCAGTCTGAGGCAGATAAATAAAGCAGTTACCGTTCAACGTGCTATGGTAAGGAAAGGGTTTTATGTAATTACATCAGAAGGGTGCCAAATCTAGACTTGAGTCTCTCAGAATGAAGGGCATTTAGGGTAAAACCTTAAAGATGACTAAAGGTAAGTCTGATGCAGGGAGTTGGGGAAGAGTATTGCATGCAGAAGGAACAGTAGGTCCAGGGGCCCAGAGGTGAAAGAGCGTGTTGGATTCCATGTTCGGTTGAACCAATTTTTCTCAGTAGTGGCAGTATTGACATTTTGAGCTAGATAATTCTTCGTTATGGGGGCTGTTGAAGGATGTTTGGCAGCATTCCTGGCCTCTAGCCACTAGATGCCATTCATACCACCCTCCAGTTGTGACAACTGAAAATATCTCCAGACGGTTGTCAAATGTCCCCCGGGGGCCAAAATCACTGTTACTACTACCGTTTTTGAAAATCGAAATGGTAGCATATTAGCAATTCCATATGATACAGCTTAATAGTTTGTGATGGTTAATCAGAGAGTTGGGAGGAGTGGTAAGAGATGAGCTTGGCAAGCTGTGGGCAAAGGCAAGTCAGAAAAGCCTCAAGCTATCTGAAGGTAAGTACATTCCTACTGTGGAAAATACTTGGATAGCAGGGATTATTTGAGCTCTTGAGAAGGCTCATTCTTCAAGAAGCTTTCTGTGAATAGATAATGCCATTATTTTAACTTTGTCACATTTTCTTTGTTGAGATCACTGTGGCCTTCTGCCTTTCTCCCTCCTTCCTTCCTTTTTCCCTTCTTTCCTTTCTTCCTGTCTCTCTGTCTCTCATTCTATCTCTTTTTCAACTATTACTTCAACATACATTATAATTTCTTATAGGTCTCAGATGTATCCAAAGGAATTATTAATGCAGTTAAGGATCCTCATGTCAGCGGGAAGACCTTTGTTTTCGTTGGGTAAGTGCTTAGAGTTTTAATTTAAAATTGTGCTACTATAATGAAGAAATCAATATCTAACTTAGTTACTAACAGATTTATTTGTTGCACTTTTACAATATCAGAATCTTCCCATTGCTTGCATTAATTCAGAATTTGAGGGAACCTGAAATCTACTTTAATGAATGATTCTTCTGTTACCAAAGTCTGAGAACCATTGCCCGAGACTATTACATATACTTAGTCCAGTGACCCTTAGGGATGGTTTTGTACAACTCCAGTGATGTTTTTAATATATAAAAGAATATTGCTGTAAATTCTAAAACACAAACAAAACACTTTAAGGGAGTGAGTATGGTTATAAAACCACATTAATTTTGATGGAGTATCGCAATGCCCCCAGAAGCTGAAAATGGGTGCTTTATAGCACAATTACTAGTGCTGTGCAAGATTGATTATTTCTTTTGTGCTCTTTGCTAAAATTTGCTCTCAGAAAAAAATAGGTACAGTTAGGCTGTGTGACTTACCTGAAATTAGTAAATCATGTCACAGCTAGGCTTAGGACTTTTTTTACTGAATTATCTAAAAGTCACAAACTAAGACTTCATCTGCCAAGTTGAGAGGTATCAGATTCACCTAGTAAGTGGTTCAGAATCTTGTCATTCTGTGAAGCAACCTAATGACACTTGGCATTCTATGAAAGGTAAGGATCTGGCTCAGTATTTAAGGGATAGCCTAATTCCTAAGAAATATTTGCCTCTAGAGGGAAATGATACTCTTCTCTTTAAGCCAAGAGGCATAGTATGTATTCCCAGAATTATAAATCTATACATTGTTGTGTTCTACTATTGTTCTTTGGTAAACAGTTTTTTTTCAGTGCAAAAAGCTCTTAGTTTTTCATGTCAACTAGCAGCTGCAAAATATATGTCTTCCTTTCAGTTTCCAGTTTGGCGCATTAGCATGCAGTCAGTTATATAGTCTAGGGAAGAATACAAAAAAAAATGTATTCAACACAAGTTTCATAAAATACTAAACACAAAAGACATTAGTTCCAATGAAGAGGTACATGGACTAGAATTTCAGGGAATAAATGAACAGAAATGGCTTGTGAATTTTACTTGCTGCAGCTCTGGATGAGTTGAACATTTTCCTCTTTACCTTTGCCTAGTCACTCTCATCTTGTCTGGGCTCCAGTAAGTTATTCTTCTTTGGCATAGTGATGGAAAAAATAATACTAGACATTGCAGGGTAGATATTTTTCCTTGTGAAATAGTAGATACGCATCAACACATTTCTTGTCTCTTCAGCCCCAGGAAAAAAACTCCCTGATATTTTGAGGCTAAGGCAGAGATATAAGACTGTAATTTTGCTCCTAGGTTTTTTGTAGTTATTAATTATATTATCTTGGTCCATTCTATTTGTCATTCATTCATAAAATACCTATTGATACACACTCATACCCACAACTGTGATAATGAATAAACACATTCAGCAAAATCATGATGTATAAGATCAGCATAGAAAAATCAATTTCTATATACTAGCAAATGAGCAATTTGAAAATAAAATTAAAATAATTTTATTCACAGTAGCATCAAAAATAATAGAATATTTAAGTATAAATTTACCAATTAAATTTATTATACTTAATAAGTAATAAGACATCCCATGTTCATGGATTGGATGAGTCAGTATGATTAAAATGATAATTTCCTTCAAATTAATCAACAAATTTAACTTAATTCTATCAAAATTCCAAAGGACTTCTTTGCAGAAATTGACAAATTGATTCCAAATTTATATGGTAATGGAAAGACCCACAATAGACAAAACCATTATGTCTCATAGTTTCAAAACTTAATAGCTATGATTCTCAGGATAGTGCGGTACTGACGTAAGAATAGATATATAGATGAATTAACCAGAATTGATAGTTCAGAAATAACTATGGACAACTGCTTTTTGAAAAAGGTGCTATGGCATTTCAAAGGGGAAAGGATAGTCTTTTCAACAAATGGTTTTGGAATATCCACATTAAAAAAAAAGATGAACTCCTATCTTGCACTGTGCATGAAAAAATTAAAATAATTCAGAGACTTCAGTGTAAGAGTTATTAAACTATAAAAATTTTGGATGAAAAATAGAAAATCTTGTAGACCTTGGGTGCTATGGTGTCAAAAGCATAATTCATAAAATTTAAAAAAATGGATACATTAGGCTTCACCAAAATTAAAACTCCAGTGTTTCAAAACACATCATTAAGAAAATGAAAAATCAAGTCACAGATGAGGGGTGGGAAATATTTGTTAATTGCGTATCTGATAAAGGACTACTATCCAGAATATACAAAGAACTATGAGAACTCAATGAGAAGACAACCTAGTTTTTAATATGAGCAAAAGACACGAATAGGCACATCACCACAGGAGATATATTTAATGGCTGAAAAGCACATGAAAAGATGCTCCATATTACTAGTGAAAATGCAGATCAAAACTATAATGAGATACCAGTTCACAGAGAGAAAATAACAAATGTAGATGAAGACATAGAGTAATAGGAACCTTATACTAAGATTGCTGGTAGTGGTGTAAAATTGTACAGCAACTTTAGAAAACAGTTTAGTATCTTCTTAAAAAGTTAAGCATAAATTTACCACATGGCTTATTAATTTTATTTCTAGATATTTAACCAAAAGAAATGAAAATGTGTCTACACAAAGATTTGCACATGAATGTCCATAGGAGCATTATCATAAATGCTAAAAATTGAAACCATCCCACATACTCATCAACTGATGAAAGGAGAAATAAAACATAGTAGCATTCCCATATAATTGAAGTTCAACAATAAAAAGGAATGAAATATTGACACGTTACATGTATGAACCTCAAAAACGTAAATGAAAGAAGCCCAATACAGAAGAGATCACATGTTGTATGATTCCATTTATATGAAATGTCTATAAAAGGCAACTGTAAGTAGATTTGTGATTGCCTGAGCCTGGGAGTAAAATCCAGGATTAAATGGCTGTGGAGGATCTTATGAGTAAGGAAAAATATTCTAAAACTGGATTATGGTAATGATTGCACAACTTGGTAAATGTGTGAAAAAAATCATTGCATTATATGATTAAAATGGATGAATTTTAATGTATATAAATTATACCACAATAGTGAATAGCACAGGTAAGATTTCTGCCTTTGTGGAGCTTATAGATTAATGATGAGACACGTAAGTAATAATTAAGCAAAATAATTAAAATAAATGACCAAAAAGGAAAGTCCAGTATTATTGGAAAGAAAATCAGAAGGAGGGAGTTGATAACTATATTGAGTGCAGCCAAGAGGTTGAGTGGGTGGCAGCATGGAGATTCATGGTCACCTTAGTGACCTTAATAACCTCATTTGAACATTGGGCAAAGGGCAATTGGATTGCAGTGAGATTCGAATGGCAGGATAGGAAGTGGAGGCAACAGTTAGGTAACTATTTAGAGAAATTTGTAAAAGGGAGCAAAGGAAAGGGGTAAAGAGAAGGCTGTGAAACATGAGTGTCTTGTCAAGGGAGGTACCACCTGGATTTGGAAGATTGTACATCTTGTTTATAAATTGCTAAGAATGGCCCAGGAAAGAGATAAGAGCTGATGACTCAGGAGATGGGGGCAACAAAAAAGAAGCAGAGTCCTTTAAGAATTGAGAGGAGTTGGATACAGAGTGCAAATGAGGGTTTGACCTTTGCAAAAGACAAAAATTCCTTCAATTTTAACGAGGAAAATAATTCAAGGATATATGCAGATGCAGGTAGGTTTGGATGTGAGAATTTAAGGGAGTATCTTTTCCTGTTGCAATTTGAGGTTAACTAAAAGGCAGGATGGAGTGGGTTAAAAAAAATGTGTGGAAAATCTGAGGACAGAGAAGATAGAAAGCATCCCCTGGGAGAATAGGAAAGAGCTTTTCCTAGGAGAACACGTAGGATTGCCAAGCAGAACTGAGTGTTCCGTTTGAAATTACTGAGGAAAACTATATGGTGAAGTCAATTCACTCAATTACAGTTTTTCTATAGTCTTGTCCCTCTGGGGTTTCAGGCTCAGAGAAGGCAGATGTTTGGGTTAACCAGAGTAAGTGTTTTGCTTGGCAAATATAGCGGTTACGGGCCTGGGAGACAAGGTTTTGCTGAGGATATTTGCAGAGGAATAACCGTAATGCTGAGCCATGAAATCTAAGCTGGGAGAGATGCAGGCTTCAATGTACCTTTCTCTGTGAGCAAGGGCACTTAAACTGGTCTTCTAGTTGCGCTTTATGGAACACAAAGTGCTTCAGAACAGCTGAAGAGGAAATCTATTACGTAGAAGTAGTTTACCCATGATACCAGTTTTGTTAGTCATCGTAAAAATTCAAGTTGTTCTTGGCGTAGCATGTATTATATGTCCTGTAATGATCCTTACAAATCTTTCTGGAATTTGAAGAAATCTACTTTAAAACCTTTGTCTGATATTTCCCCTAGCTGACAGTTTCTTGTTTTTTAGTAAAGTATGTCAGGATAATGAGGTCCTCACTGAATTAATGTCACTCAGCTCTTGGTTGTCATAGATTTTCTGTCATGAAACATGCAAATGAATTAGGAAATGGGTGAAGAAATATTAAAATGTATTATAAGCAATGACACTTATTAATGCTAGGTTAAAATCGTACAGAACTATTCAGATTAATGAAATAGAGCAGAAAGTCCAGAAACAATCCCATTGTATGTAAGGATATAGTATGTGATAAGGGTGACATTTTGGTGTAGGGAAAGAATCAGTACAGTAAATGATTCTGTAAATAGCATTGAAGCAATTGGCTTACATCTTGGGAAAAATATAATTACATGTTTATATAATATCATGTACAAAAATATGTCACAGAAGGAACTTACTTTATAGTAAAACAAAATCTTTTTTATAAGCTTTAGATAAAATATATGGAAATTTATGTCACTGCAGAGGAATTTTCTAAATATGAAACCAAGCCATAAAGAAAATCAGTAGTTTTGGTTAAACTGTTAAAATTTTATGTGCACAAAACACTGTAAATAACACCAAAAGGTAAAATACAATCGATAAAAGGTATTTCCAACAATATCACTAAAATATAGAGAATTCTTACAAATTATTTTTATAGACAGGGACTCCAGGAGGAAAGAAAAGATAAATACATAAATGACCAAAAATTCATGAAGAAATAACCTCTCGTATTAAAAACATAACAATTAAAACATGATACCTTTTTTAATGTAGCCGATTGGCAAAATTTTGTTTTATTATGACAACTCATTTTGGGTGGAGGGGGCATTTTTACTAACATTTTATATACATCGATAGAACCATTTAGAAAAGCAGTTTGGAAGTATTCCATAAAAGCCTTAAAATTTCAAAGTCTACATTGAGCCAGTTCCACTTCTACAAATATATTCTAAATGCATAATCATGGCTAAGTATAAATATTTATTACAAGAATGTTCATTAAAGCATTATTTTATAAAAGAAAAATATTTTTAATAGCAAATATCTCAAAACTGGCAATTGATAAAATAATTGTGATTACATGGATTGTAATATGTGCAATCATGAAACATGTAATAAAATATTTAATGATGTGGAAAGACAGTTGTGATATGTTAAATGAAAAGACGTTACAGTTGTGATATAATGTTAAATGAAAAGACGTTACAGCATAGAATGGATTATGTGTTTATAAAAACAAAAATAATGTGTACATGCAAGGGGACAAGAAGGGTATAGGTGAAATGTAATTGTCTTCCATAATGGGATTATGGGTGATTCTCCTTTGTGCTAATCCGTATTTACTACATAAATATATGTTTCCTTTTTTATGAGAAAAATGCTATTTTGTTAAAAAGGAAAATTTGTGAGAAGCATGGAACTGAAAGAACTGTGTATTGTCTTTTTGTAGGCCAAATCGGTACCTCCTCTTTGACCTGGTAAAGTACGTCTACGCTGTGACTCACAGATTATTCCTACCATACCCCATACCACGTTTTGCCTATCGGTAAGTAGAACGCTCCTTTTGTGCGACTTCTGAAAAAGCTAACTCCACACCCTTGTTCTTAATGTTCTCCCTTAGGGTTATAGGGTGTGTGAATGACTAGTCTCCAACTCTCCTAGCATTATGACATTAGTGAGGAAGAAGCAGAACTAGACTAGTGCCAGTAAGAAAAATGTGTTGGGAGATTAAATCTGCAGTCCTTCACTTTCTCCAATTTAAAACCATTGAGTTTAATTTTGGAGAAATAACTTGCTTGGCATATACATAAGAGGCAGTCAGGTTCCCCTGTGTTTCATGTTGCTCATTATTAAATCAACCTGATCATGCTACTGGGGAAAGGAGTCAGGCTAATTCAGACTTGGATTTGTGCTTGCCTTCTTTCCTTGCTTCTTAGTTCACTTCTTCCCTTTGTGGGTTAAATATCTTTGACCTGGCTGGGAGTGGTGGCCTATGCCTGTAATCCCAGCACTTTGGGAGGCCAAGGTGGGTCGATTGAGCTCAGGAGTTCGAGACCACCCTGGGCAATATAGCGAAACCCCATCTCCGCAAAAAATACCAAATTAGCTGGATGTGGTGGCATCTGCCTATAGTCCCAGCTACTGGGGTGGAGTGGGGGATGCAAGAGGATTGCTTGAGCTTGGGAGTTCAAGGCTGCAGCGAGCTGAGATTGTGCCACTGCATTCCAGCCTAGGTGACAGAGCAAAACCCTATCTCAAATAAAATAAAATCTTATACTCATCATGTCACACCCTAGTTGTCTGGTTAAGGACTGTCACATCCATTGTGTCACAAACTGATCTTCATTTGAATTTTCATTCATTCATTCAACAAATATTTATTGAATGCCTACTATATCTTAATGTGCTAGGTACTCAGAATGTTACAATAAACACTCAGAAATCTTATGGTCTAACAGGGGTACCAGAAAAATAGACCATTAGAATGCAGCATAACAGTATTTATTGAGTGTTGTACCTTTCAGCCTATTTACTTTGTCTCCTTTACTACTTACAGCTATCTATAAAGTAAGTAAGGAGAGTATGTGGAGTGAGTGGAAGAGGATGCCACAGAGTAAGAAACTTACAAGAAGCCTGAAAAAAAGTGATCAGCCTTTTAAGTGGGAAATGAGAGTTTGAAATTCTAGGCACCAAAGGGAAGGGAGTGCTTTAAGGAGGGAATCAATGTTTTAAGAAGGGGAACATTGCTGTTCATTCACATGTATCTCAAGCCCCTAGAACAATGCCTGGTACACAGTAGACACTGTTAATACTGGTAGAATGAAGTCTTGCAGAAATCAGATAAGATAAAGGACCCAAAAAGGTCTGCAAATGACCGTTTGTGACCGCGGCTTCAGAGCCGTAAAAGGGATATAAGCCAGATTGCAATGAGGTGCTTTCATGGTTGTACATACAATTGAGTTAGATTTGGCGTATGTATGCCCATGACTTGGTCTCCTGAGGACACTAGAATAGAGACCTGAAGTGATCTGTTAGTGTAGAACGAGGGCACAGAGAGTTATAGATTTGTAAGGAGTGTTTTTATTAAGCTACGTTAGCCTAGTAAATTCTTTCTCTGCCATTGGGGAATCTGAAGCTTATATGTTACTAGAGAAATTCCAGCCAGCTTCTTTATTCATTTATTTATACTATGCATTAGAATGATGTTTTTCTAGCTTTTAAACAGTTGTGGAACCTTGTGTTCACTGAATTTTTACATCAAGGCCTGCTGGGTAAATCCAATAGAAGAACTGGTCTGGTTTCAGTGATGGCTAATACTCAGCACATAAACTCTCAAACTCTTGGCCCCAGGACTCCATGGGGCACCAGCAAATTCCTAGCATCCTTTAGATGCTAGTTTAAAACTAACTGCTACTGGGCACAGTGGTGCACACCTGTAGTCCTAGCTACTAGGGAGGCTGAGGTGGGAGGATCACTTGAATCCAGGAGTTTGAATCCAGCCTGGACACATAGTGAGACCCTGTCTCTGGAACAAAAAAAAAAAGGAAAGAAAAGAAAAACCCACTGGCCTGAGGTAACTGATGATGGGAGCTCAAGTAGGATTTAAGGAGCCCTTCAGTTTTCATTAGCAGTGAAGAGATGGTAGTAATCAAGATAGGTGGCCTTTCTTGTCCTGGGTTTATATTGTCATCCTGATTTGAACCATAGATTTTTGGTTTCTCCTTGCTTTGGGATTTTTTTTTCCCACAAAGGCCCCAGCTTTTAGGGATGACATTTTATATTTTACACACCACTTAGCTTACCCTGTGTCTGTAAAGGCAGCATATTTGAATATATGAGGTTTAGATTAGATTGAATTTCACAGTTTGGTTGAATATTGGAGTTTCTCTGTTTGCTTTGTTGTTTCTTGGTTTTATTTCATTTTAAGTTTAAGATCTGTTGTTTCTTTGGAGGAGAACAAGGTGTGCTAGCAGTTACAGCAGCCACCTGGGTTGGCCTGAGAGGAGACGGCCTGAAAAGCAGAGGTAGCCTCACAGGTCAAGGTGCCAGGATGTTGGTTATTTTCTTAAAAACAAACCAACCAACCAAAAACCACAATTCAGACTGTTCTACAGCAGTCTGTCTTCCTGTGGTTCTTATAGGCTAGCTTAAATCTTGGGTAGAGAGATGCTTATCACATGTGCTATATATCTTTCTTTTTCCAGAGGGATAGCAAGAATATTTGAAATAAGTCCATTTGAGCCCTGGACAACAAGGGATAAAGTGGAGCGGGTGAGTGTATGTGTGGAAAGCATCTGCCTGGGCAGACAAGAAGTCGGACTTACTTTGGTCTGCCTGCTTGCTTGTTTCCCTGCCCTTGTCTGTTTGCTGTTCTTGCCGTTTGTGGTCAGCCCCTCTGCTAGCACTGAAACTCATCCAGCTGCCCTACTCCAGGGGGTGGCTCCTCCATACCTGCCCGTCATTATCAATGTTTCTTTCTCTGCTGGATCATTCCCATCAACACACAAAAATGCCTAATAGCTCCCCTGCCAAAGCCTCTCTTCCTCCCGTCACTCTTCTAGCTACTTTGCTGTTGTGTGCCTTCACGTCGTAACACCTCCTCACATCCTGACGAAACTGTTGCCAGTTTTTTCATCCTTTCCTTAACCTATTCCAACCAGGCTTTTATTCCTATTTCTCCCCTAAACCTCTTTTCAAGGCGCCCACAGTCTCCGTGCTGCCAAATGCAGGAGTCAGTTCTCAGACCTCATGTCATGTGCCTGTGCATTTGCTGCTAGGGAGGATGCAAAATAAAGTAAGAATACTATACCGTATCTACCTTTGAAGACCTAGGGACCATATATTGACAAGAAGCAGCCAGATTGTCCCCTGAATGCTACCTAAAAGCTCAGGTGTAGAGAATATGAGAAAACAGTGCTTAGGGAACATGTGGAAGTCAGCAGCTCTCATACTGGCTGCGTCTGGAGAGCCGAGGCCATTTCTGTGATGTCCCTTCTGTGTTTATGAAATATCAGTCAGGATAACTGGTGGCCGGACACTTCAGTTTATCTTACACCAAAGTGTCTCTTACATTTATAATTGAGAATGTGCTGATAGAGTGGCAAGAGTGGGTTTTGAATTTGGTTTGCCAGCTAGCTTACAGCACTCTGGTGAAAGAATTGCAGACTTTCAGGTGGGTAGGATGAGGGATTGATGCTGCTCTAGGTGCAGATGGATTCCATTATGTGCTTTTGAATAATCTGAGATCTTTGCAAACTTTACAGCTCATTGCCTTTCCCTAAAAACAAGATGGGTTTAGTTTTCTCGCTCTGCACTGAACATTAGTCAACCCAGGTTGAGTATAGCTGGAGCAAAAAGAGGTCATTGGCTTTTGTTTTTAATGGGCGAGGAACAAATGCTGTTATCTCCTAAATTCAAAGTTAAAACTGAGTCAGAATGCCCATGCTTACAAAATAGGGACATGAGACAACTGAGGAATGGACTGGCTCTGCTTTAGCCCTGATTTTATTCCTAAACCCTCCTGTTAAGCCTCCCCTGGCAAGTGTGATGACTTGCGCTTCCCTGCCCTAGATTTATTTCTGTGGAAATCTGTATATAGAATGGCTCATGTAGTAAACATCCTGTGCTCGTGACTACCACTGGGGACCTCGATCTGAAACTTGGTGATCTTGCCCTTTTTTTGTCTTAAGCCCTCATTCTGTGTTCTACATTTATAGTGATTTGCATGAATCGAAAATTGCCCCATATTCTTTGAAAGCAATTAAGTCTCAATAACAGGACTCATGCCCGCTTGAATGTTTAAATGCATGCTAGGATAGCACTTTGTTCTTGGCCAGTTTTCAGCATTGTCTACGGTCCTTTGTTTATTCAAAGATTCACATCACAGACATGAAATTTCCTAAGCTGCCCGGCTTAGAAGACCTCGGTATTCAGCCAACACCACTGGAACTCAAGGCCATTGAGGTGCTGCGGATACATCGCGCTTACCGCTGGCTGACTGCTGAAATTGAGGATGCGAAGCCGGCCAAGACCGTCAACTTTTAGTGCCCCTCAAGCAGCTCTTGGTTTTGATGTCTTTTGGGTCAGCCAGTGTGGTTGAGCACCCAGCCAGGTGGTCTCTTTAGAGAATCCTGTACACAGTCAATAAGGTCGTACTATTAAAACATTTGAGGTTGAATTCTGCGGTATTTTCTTTCTTGATTTATAAACTGAGAAATGCAGTCATTTTGAACTTGAGCATAGTTTTTTGTTAAACATACATATTTAATAATGACATATATATTATTTATTCTCTGAAATGCCAGAGAGCTTGAATTTTCCTTTGACAAGCCACTTCTAGCATATGTTCTGGAAGACAAGGACCCTTTTTAATGTTAAAATACCGTAAAGACCCCAAGTGATATATGATTGTTTTTAAATCTTTATTAAATTAGAGAATATACAATATCCTTTAACCCAAATGTGTTTACACTAAAGGTGTTTTAAAAATTTATTTTAATAATGTCCATATACCTTCTAAAAATAGTAGTACATATATGGAAAAGCATTGTGTATAGGTTCTTAAAGCCCTTGCTGTAATTCTACAGTCTTCTTGGATCTGAGCTGTCTGAAGCTAGCCCCATGCCCGTAGTACCACATCTGGATTCTTTCAGACATACAGGTTTAGATAGATTCTCTTCCCATGCAAAGGAGATGCTTCAGCCTCTATGCAAGTAGTGCCGGCACTTAGGAATTAGGACTTTCTAATTAAGTCCTTAAAATTGCAGCCGAGATCCAGATGAACAGTTGGTTTAGTGTTAGCATATCCCCCCAGTACAGTATGATTTAAAACTCCCAGAATTTGTGGTGAAGCCAATATGGTGATCCCAGGGTTAGTCACTGAGTTTCACTGGATTTCAGCCTTTTGATCTACGTTTGGGACAGGAATGTCGGTAAAAACCCAGTTTGATTATGGTAATGCCCATCTCCTCCTTATAGAGAAAGGTATATCAGTGTTGAAGGTAAGTTCTCCACCTGCCCTTTTTGCATGCATCAGAATATTTTTGTCCCAAAACAGGCAACAGTGTGCTACTCCAAGTGTGGTCCATAGATCTCCAGCATTGGCATCACCTTGGGACTTGTTAGAAATGCAGAATCCAGACTGGGCACCGTGGCTTACACCTGTAACCCCAATGCTTTGAGTTGCTGTGGTGGGAGGGTCGCTTGAGGCCAGGAGTTGGCAATATGGAAAGACCTTGTCTCTACAAAAAAAATTTCAAAAAGTTAATAGGGCATGGTGGCACGTACCTGTAGTCTCAGTTGCTCGGGAGGCTAAGGTGTGAGCATTGCTTGAGCCTGGGAGTTTGAGGTTACAGTGAGCTATGGTAGTGGCACTGCACCTCAGCCTGGGAGAGAGTGAGATCCTGTCAAAAAAAAAAAAAGGCAGAATCCTAGGCCATGTCCTGTCCCAGGCCTGTTGAATCAGAATATGCATTTTAGCAAGGTCTCCAGGAGACTTGTATGCACATTAGGTTATGAGAAGCACCGCCATACACAAGAGCTATATCGGAGTTCAGTGTGACTCCTGTTTTTAATCCAGCTTGCTGACCACTGCCCCAGACCTACTGAACCAGACTCTCAGGATGGAGGGCCCAGGAATTTTAGTTTTATTAAACATTCCAGTTTATTCTGTACACTAGTATGTCAGAATCAGTATACTAGGGAAAAGAACGCAACTCCAACTTCACGTTTTTTCTTCAGATATCACCTGTTATTTTGGATTACACCCCTGCTGGCAATAAGTCAGCCAGTAGGCACAGAAATGGGTGGATTTAATTTGAAAAGAAACTATAGTCCTATAATGCACATTGTCCTCACTTGTAATATCTGTATTTCTTTCCTTTTTTTGATTCTTTAAAAAAATTTTTTATTGATGCATAATAGATGTAAATATTGTCAGGGTATATGTAGTAATTTGATATATTCCTATAACCAAGTCAGTGTAATTGGGATATCCATCACCTTACATATTTACCTTTATGCGGGTAGCATTTGAATTACTCTCATCTAGCTCTTTTGAAATGTACAGTAGATTAGTATTAACTTTAGTTACCCTGCTGATCTCTTGAACACCAGGTCTTATTTCTTAAAATTTTAACTGTAATTGTCTACATTTTCTAGCAATGCTGTTTCTCATCTCTAACTTGTATCAGAACTCAGGATGCTACATACTTCTAAAGCTATAATTGAACCAGGATAGATTTTGCTTCCTGTTCACACCCAGCCCCGGCTTTTGTAACAAATAGTTTGTAATAGTTTTTATTATCCTGATATGGAAGTCATAGTTACTATAACCTGTCTATATTTGTAATCAAAATACAACTAATGCCTTATGTAAACAAGAAGTGAAAGGAAAGTAATACACAGTAAGATGTATATACAGCACGCCAACACTGAAGGCATGATGAAGTCGTCCATTGCTTGCATCCATATGGGCAATCACCATGACTGTGATAACAAATGCAGACTGGTCTGATGCAGGGGCAGGTCACAGTCTCCACTTCAATACCATCAGCAGCATTGCTATTATGTCAACTTCTGAAATAGTGAACGACTTCCAGTAAAGTTCAAAACAAAATCGAATAGAATCTTCCCTAAATTTATATGATTCTTGCATTCCTAGAAAATTCAGTATATATTAAACCCATAATAAAGGTCCTGTTTATGTAACCTAGATATAAATCCAACGAAATACATAGACGATGTATATGAGGGAAACTACAACCTCTGATGAAACAAATCAAAGAAGAACTACATAAATGGAGAGAGATTTTAAGTTCATGGATAGGAAGATTCAGGACTGTCAAAATTTGCATCTTTCCAACTTGATCTATAGATTTAATGCAATTCCAATAAAAATCCCAGCAATTTATTTTGTGGATATCAAGAAATTAATTCTAAAGTTTATATGCAGAGGCAAAAGATCCAGACTAGCTAACATAATACTTAAGGAGAAGAAAAATGGAAGAACGCAGACTACCTGAATTCCAGACTTTTTTTTTTTGTTTTTTTGAGACAGAGTTTGGTTCTGTCACCCAGGCTGGTAGTGCAGTGGCGTGATCTCAGCTCACTGCGACCTCTGCATCCTGAGTTCAAGATATTCTCCTGCCTCAGCCTCCCCAGTAACTAGGATTACAGGCGTGTGCCACCACACCCAGCTATTTTTTTTTTTTTTTGTATTGTTTAAAGTAGAGACAAGGTTTTGCTCTGTTGGCCAGGCTGGTATTGAACTCCTAACCTCAAGTGATCTGCCCGTCTCAGACTCCCAAAGTGTTGGGATTACAGGCATGAGCCACTGTGCCCGGCCTCCAGACTTCCTATAAAGCCACAATGATGAAGGCAGTGTGGTATTGACAAAAGAAGGGACACATAGGTAAACAGAACATAATAGAAAGACCTTTCTTTTACTTGGCTGAAATTCCAAAGTACCTTTTCCTAAGTGCTTCTTCCAATATTTGTATAAACTGATAGTTCTACCTTTGAATTATTTAAAGTCTCAGTAGAATGCCTAAATGAAATGGAAACTGAGCTGTTGGCTGGCAGGTGGCAGCTGGTAGGTAAGGCAGTGCTTCAAATCATTATCCATCAGATAACATGCAAAGAACTGAGGGTCACGAAAGTGAATTACGTGGACACATATGGGCTGTATAAAAATTGTTTCTATTCTAAAGTAGTTCTGATGCTAGTGGCCAAGTCTTCCTTGCTAGGTCACTAATGAAACTCTTAACCAGGCATGGGAAATAACAACAGCAACAGCAAGACAAATAAACCAGACCCCATATTTTAGTTCTGGTCCCAGTGCTCCTCTTCTTTTGTTACCTTGTTCTGCAATCTATATTGGTCTATTTTTCAGGATAATCTTATTCCTTGGATCAATTCTCTTTTTTAAGAATAGGCACTCTGGGATGATTAATTAATTACAAAGAATTCTGTCACTCTGCCATTGCTCAAAGTTAATTATTTAGCAACAATATTGACTATACCATTAGTTCTTCGTCTTTATACTTTATGTGCAACTGAATTACATGTTATCATTCTCTCCAATTCTATGGTATGATTATTTTTCCTCTGTTCGTATGCTGGGAGAGATTTGTCTAAGCCTCTTGATTTTTGTGGAAAAGATCATGTTTAAACTGAGTTATGCCTGAAAGCTTTCTTACTTGGCAATCTTACTTACCTTATGATTTCTTCCTGAGTCATATTATCTCATTTTCCCTCTTGGATGAGTAGTTGGGGTCAAAACACTTGGATCTGGTTTTTTTTGTTTTGTTTTTGTTTTTATAGATTGTGATCTGTTTCATATATAGAGTTTAGCACAATGATAAATATATAGGCAACCAACCGAGGTGATCAGGAAGGACACTGGGAAGTGGATTTATATGCAAAAGAAAACTACATGCATGCTGTCTCTACTAACCCCCAAAATGATAGCATAAAGAAATATGACCTAAAACACTAAAAAGAAAAGAGTGCAATGTGACCTAGAGTGAATATTATTGAGCTTTCCTGTCCTCAGTTTCCTCACCTATAGAACGAAATAATAATTCCTGCACCACAGGGTGATTGTGAAGACCAAATGAAATCACATGTATGAAAGACCCAACACTGGCTGGCCCTTACAAGATGCTTACAAAATATTTATTATTTTTTTCCTCCAACACATGTTCACAATCTATAAATAAACTTTTTTAAAAAGCCACCATTATCAATCTTATCTTTGTAAAATAAACACATCTTCTGAAGTTGCCAAATACTTGTCTTTTTAAATTTTTAATTTTAATTTCGATATTTTAGAGATGGGGTCTTGGTATTTTGCCTAGGTTGATCTTGAACTACTACCTCGGCTTCCCAAGTAGGTGGGACTATGGGTGACTGCCATCATACCCAGCCCTATACAGATATTTGTAACTGATTTACAAATATCTGTAAGAATACAGCTTAATGTCTTGAGAACATATTATCCCCATATAAGAATAGAATGTGCAGAAATTTTAGTGATGAAATACGAAGGAAGAGTTTCCCCCACAAACAGTCAGAATAATGATCAACAAAAGTAATCCTTTCTGAAACATCTCCCGTCTGACTAGAGGCTTTTGCGGCAAGGGAGAGGAAAGAAAGACATTATTAATGGTTGAATCACCGTTT